CAAGTCGCTGAACGATGCGAGAATACTTAGACTGGAGGACGATGCTTCGGTTGCATGGTTGAAGGAAGAATTAGGTATGCCCAAAATCTGTTGCTTGGGAGTTGAAGCTGTCCGTAGCATAACAATCTTGTTGGTACTTTCACAATATCCCCTTCGTACTGTTTATTGTCCGATTATTTTTCGCCTTTTCTCTCCTTGCACGTTTTGATGAAAATCTCCTGCAGTTCAACTTCCCAATGCTAACCGGGACTTCTCTGCTCGTGTCACTTCTGCTTTTTCCAATCCGAGGTGCGCTACTAGGAAGCTGCGATTATCGTGTTTTGTCATAACTACCTCTACTTGTCAGAACCTGAAGCAACGTTTGGCGGATTATAAGTGACATGGCATGGCAATTGTGTCGCAATGAACGAAGTTTGGTTGTCGAAGTTGCATATGTCACCCAGCAGAAGAAACTGAAGACGGAGTTCTGAACCATCGCTTCAAATACAACTATCATATGACTAAAACCTTGCAATGTAGAAATAACCAGACAGTGAGCGGAAATACTATCGTGAGGCATGCCAACACAATTGGTGCATCCTTTGTTGGAGAGAAAGAAAAGTAGAACAAAGAGAGGTGGAACTGCTGTGGAGATTTGAAAAAAAAAGAAAATAAAAAATCTATAGGGTTATGATCCGACCCAGGCTCGATCTGGGGACCTTCAGTGTGTTAGACTGACGTGATAACCAACTACACCATCGGACCAACTGTGGATATTTGATTTTCGCAAGACAGAAAACAAATAAACCGAGCAACCAAATCTGCCAGGATCTTTCTATTTTCTCATCATGAAACCTCGAAACGACTTCAACAGCAGCACACATCGATATATGTCATTAACAACATGAAAATGGCACTGCGTTCCTCTGGCACCGGCGTCATACTCATTGTTATAATTAACGCCCTTTGCTTATCAGTAGACATCCGGCATACCGTTGTTGCTCTGCGCAAACATAGATAATAGAGGAGCAGGCGGCGTCGAAGTCACTCTTGACTGCACATCAAGTTTCCCCATCATCACCTCCCCGTTCATCGTAGCAGCGCGAACCTTATGTTTTTGGCTACAGGATCTGCTGACTTCAAGCAATCAGAGTCAGCGAGCCAGCTTCGGAGTTGGGAACATCCTAGAGAATGTAGCCGAAGAGAACAATATGTTCCTCCGAAGCCTGGATTCTTTGGATAATTCGAGTCTTTGCGGTGCACGGTATCATAAATAAAACGGGCCGGAGGAAGTAACCGAAGTGGATCCCCCGGACACCGGGAAACGTGGATTTGTTCGCGGCTCCGGATTTTAATCGCAGAAGTGGAAATTATCTCGGTCCGGGACAGTCGCGCGCCGGCGCACATATGAGTCCGAGGCCGGAGCACCGGCATCGAGGTGCAGCAAGCAACAAGCAACAAGCAAAGGCAATCTGAGCTCGCAGCTCAATCTTGAGGATGTTGCCGGCTTTCCGTTCTGTTCCGTTCTGTTGACTGTGCTCACTCACTTGATCGCAGTTTTGTGTTGGGGATGGACATGCTCAGCTGGAACCGATTTGCCAAGGGGATACCAAAGCAGGTCAAGCGAGCCAAGCTTGCAGATGCTGCGGGGAAGAAGGTCCAATCACTGGATCTAGAATCGAGAGAAATGCGGGGGAGGCCCGAGTGCTCATTCTAGTTTGTTTTTTTGAGCGGCCGGCTGGCGAGCCGACGACTTTTTCTTGCTCCAGTCTCCAGGATTGTGATTTCCGACCTCGAGCTTTCACGTTGTTCACTCAACTGTTGGAAGTTGTTCGAGAAAGAGCTTGTGAAAGTTGGAAAGTGTGTAGTTACACAGCGTTGGCGAGTGAGGTCATGAATGCCAGCCACAAAGCAGATCGTAAGAGATGGCGGCCTCTCATATTGTCAGATTGACAACTTGACATGTTCGTTCTTGTCGGTCACATTATTCAATTGTGTGATGTGGACGTGCTTTTTGGAGTTCGATTGGAGATGCGCTTGCCCCTGCGCATTGCTTCTACTGTGGGGAACACACCTGAATGAAGTGTCTCCGCAAGGTACGTACCTACCAAAGGCGGTGGGCAGTGGAATGTTCCTGGCGACTGGGTAAAAAAACCTTGAGTTTCCTTATGGAACAAACACCAAAAAACGTGCAACTGAAACATCAACTTGATCAATTGCTCAGATTCTGGATCAGGCATCTTGGCTCTTGAGTAGCGTACGTTTCATGGAGATGATGTGACCTGTGATATCCATTTGTTTGAGAATGGAAGTAAAATGGTTCCGGCCTAGGTTTCAGATCCACCACATGGAGGTCTGCTGCAGAATGGCCCCGCTGTGAATTTTGGGAGAGCTCCTGCTGTGTCAGGGACACCATGGGCATTCTTCCAACCAGCCGCCATTACGGGCAACCAACAATTCTTATACCTACGCAAAACAAGTAGTTGACTTTCATATGTGTTCCTATACCACCTGGCAGAAAGTGTTCGTATAGACAAGAGTGTCGACAAAAACGGCCGTTGTTGGTCGTTGGTGTCCGTGAACAGCCAAGCAGCGAGAGAATGCGGAATACTTGTAGGTGAACGCCAAGTCCAATACCTACGTCAACACTGTCACGACGCTGCACAGCGCAACCATTCCTCGCTCTCCTCCAGTACCAAGCCAAGGGCAAATTTCGACTGCAGCCAAACACAAGCTGTGGTGTTGTTGGTGTGCAAAGTAGGACAGGACCTACTTGACGAGGTTGCAGGGCCACCTTTTATGCGCCTGATCGAGTTTCGCAGGGCAGCAGTGTTAGGTTGCTTGAGACTTTCCATCTCCATGCTTCAGACGGGGCAAGAGCTGCCAGACCCAAGAGTGCCACTGCAGGGCAGCCCAGGGTTCTCCAGGGGTATAAGGTTGCGAGCGCGACCATCCACTGCTGCCGGGAATGTATTAAGTTCCATGGCTGGCCATCTCTTTGGCTTCTCCAGCTGCAACTTTTCTTTTTTTCGTGCCCGTGACGTCGGTATTCCCACTTGGGGTCCCAAACCAACCAACAGCATCGCCAAAAGATCCAACCACCCTTGACTACCTAACCACCCCGGGGGAGCCTCAAGAAGGCCAGACGCCCACAGGCCGTCGCCCGCTACTCGCGCACACTCTCTGCCACTACGTCCTCTTTTTTCTTCTTATTTTTTTTTCTTCATATACAACCGGCACGTCTATCCATCGAAGCACGAGCAGTACCACCAAAGAGCACACTTGCAACTGACGAGAGGTCGCTGTCGCTGTCTTCGAACCACCTCACCTCCATCATGGCTCCGTCCACTGCCCCGCCCGCGCTCGCCGCGAGCGGTCCAACCCTGTTCGGCCTTTCTATGAAGCAGGTTTCATTGATCACCGTAGGAGGCCTGCTCGACTTCGTTGTCAAAAGGCGGGAGATTTACTAACGTGACCGAACGTGTGGTGTAGTTGACATTCCAAAACTCGGCACTTATACTGGTATGTGTACCTTGCTGGCCAAGCTGGCGTGGATGCTATCAGTCGCGGTATCGTCAACTAACATCACGGCCGAACAGATAATGCACTACTCGCGAATCATGACACCACCCGGCGACCATCGATACTTTGCCTCGACTGCCGTCCTTCTCAACGAAGTTATCAAGCTGGCAATCTCTTTAACCTGCTCCATCTACGAGGTTTCGAATACCCTAGCCCCGCAAACACCCTTGACGGTTATCCTGGAACAAATCTACAACTCGGTCTTTGCTGGAGATGGATGGAAGCTGGCTATCCCCGCCGTGCTGTACACACTCGAGAACACGCTGCAATACGTAGCTTTGGGGAATTTGGATCCCGTCCACTTCCAGATTCTCTTTCAACTCAAGGTATGCGCCCTGATGCGTTGGGTTAAGAACACGTTGGAGGGGACGGAAACTGACGCTGTTTAGATTATCACTACCGCCTTCTTCAGCGTCGTTATGCTTGGCCGCACACTGGGTATCAAGCGCTGGCTATCCCTCGTCGTACTCACCTTTGGCGTTTCCATCGTCTCCCTCCCTTCGTCGAATGACAACTCTTTGACGATCCACGACTTCAGCGATCACTTCTTCCCCCGATCCGTCCACGAGCTAGGCCAAGCCGCGGGCGCGACCTTTGATGTGGCGCGCGAGTTGACAAAGAGGGGTATGGAGGGCTTGGCCACGGAGCTTACCAAGCGCTCGGCAACATACGAGGGCATCAAGGAGGATCAAGATGGCGGTCGCCTGGTGATGAACTACTCCGCTGGATTGACAGCCTGCCTGGTTGCTGCTGTCGTGTCAGGCGTGACGGGTGTTTACTTTGAGAAAGTGCTCAAGGATTCCTCCACCAACGTGTCTGTGTGGACTCGCAACATCCAACTCTCCTTCTATTCACTTTTCCCCGCCCTCTTTGTCGGGGTCATTTACAACGACGGCGAGGAGATTGCGAAGCACGGGTTTTTTGATGGGTACAACAGCATCGTTTGGACTGCCATTGTCTTTCAGGCAGTGGGAGGGTTGCTATCCTCCATCTGCATCAACTACGCCGACAACATCGCAAAGAACTTCGCTACCAGCATCAGCATTGTTATAAGCTGCGTGTTCAGCGTCTTCTTCTTCGACTTTGACATGACCTCTTCGGTATGTTTCTCTCCCGTCAACGTCTCCGACGGCCGTTCGCTAACTCCCTCTTCTCTGCAGTTCATCATTGGCACTGCCCTTGTGATTGGATCTACCTATCTCTACAGCACACCCGACAGAAAGCGGTCTCGACCGCCTCCCATCAACATTGTGGATTACGAAAAGATCTCGATCGATCATACTCCGAGATTGTTGGACCAGAACCTACTAAATGTCAACCCGATGGATTCCGCCAGGGCAACCTCGAGACCCTCCTCACCATCGCCATTAGCCCGCACACCATCGTCTAGGGGCAAGTTGTTGGACGAGTGAACGTAAAGGCGGCACACGAGCGAACAAATGATTGAACATGGGGGCAACCCACGGTGGGTAGACTCCGGGGAACGGCTTCAAAGTGGAGAAAGTGTTCGTGCGCCCAAAACAAAGACAAAGAAAGAAAAAACGGAAAGAAACCGACGTGCACAGGCTGCTAGGAATGGCTGCTGTGAGGCTTCAAGTAGTCTATTATTACCATATACGACCCTTTTTGGGAACTTGGAATTGACGGAGGCTGCGTTATGATGGCATGAGCGTATGAGAGATACCAGGACATGAGCTTTTTGGGTTTGTATATGCATCTGCGCGAGCAGAACCGGCGCTCTGGATACACGACCAATGCTTAGGGGAAAAGGGAGTTGCAAGATGGAAGATGGGATTCGGGTTCGGCCAGGGCAGGTTCCTCCTGTTCTAGGCGTGGGAGGAATGAGATGCCATCGTTCACACAACACAACAAGAACAATGAAACGCCGAAAAGCGATTTGCATGTAGTATTAAACTACATTTTGTATACAAATATCCCTTTCTCTCACTTCAAGCTCCTAAGATGATCCAGTTCGCTCATGGGCCAAGCTAGATGGACCTCGATCATGCTTTTTGGGTCCAGCCGGGGAGGTCAGTCATCTCGTGCAGTTCACCCATCGAATTCCCAGTTCGGGCTGGATGGGCATCCAGTGCGGAAGGAGCGGGGGGGTAAATTTCAAACGGCTCCTCATGATCAGTGTCGCAAGGGAAGGTACGTTGTCGGGCCCTCGCCGCATCGGTAGTCATACCGCGGTTGGTTCCGGACATCTTTCACTGCCTCTTTCCGTTTATGCATCCATGGCTCTTTCTGTTTCCTTCAAATTCTCTTAATCGTGCGACGCCAGTGAGTGCTCGAGGCTCCTTCCTCGTTCGTTGTCGTTATCCCAGGGCTTCAATCACGCACAATATTCTCCTCAAGTCAACCCCGCCTCAACTCGCAAATGAGTTTCGTCTATCGAGTCTCAATTCCCATTGCTAGTCACCACTTCGTGTTCCGTTGCTCTCAAGTCAGGTTTCAAACTGTCGTCCTATCACTGATTCCCAATCGATCGCGAAGTGAAGTAGCCATGACGGGACGTTGGCGCGAGTCGGCACGCGAAAGAATAGCCCAAAGACAGCGAGAAAGGTACAGACACAGACCCGAGATCCTCGAGGACCGCGACGAGCTTGCCATGTCTCCTCGCCCAGGCTGTTACCCAGTACGCTATCGCGACGAACACGACCGTGGAGAACTTGGGCCATCAACACGCTACTACGCCGAACCACCTCAGCCATACGCAGATGAACTAGATGATTTCGGTATGTGGATGAAGTCTGAGCCGTGTCTTCCCCTTAGTCTAACATGCATTAGATCGCCATCTTCTTGCTCATCCTGCCCCGCAAACCGGCGATGACGAACAATACCAAATCGCGCTCTCGCATCTTAGTAGACATGCCCGGCCTCACATCTCCCCCGAATACAGCTCGTATATGGACGCCACTATGCCCCAGTCAATGTCTACTGGCTTGCCTTCCTCTACCATAGTACCTGTTCCCGATGACCACCTCATCCCGACTCCGAGGACACTAGACATCATCAGCCGTGAACCAAATCATCGCCTCAGGGAACTGTACGGCTCCCACCAGCAGCCAACGCCTCCAATGCATTCAGGTTGGTCTTGTTCCCCCAATGGATATTTTGTGGCCGGTCTGACATTGCCCAGCAGCTTCGTACGCACAAAGCCCAGCGAGTCAAGCGTCCACCAAAGAGACCCTTCATAGCCTCAGTAGCTCCAGTCCCACCATACGAGCCAGCGCGCATAAGAAGCATAGTGTCTCTAGACGGGCCCGTCAGATGTCGTATCTGGCCGAAGAGCCTATGGAAATATCTCAGCCATCACAGCAGTCACAAGCTACCCACATAAATCCTACTCAGTCGACCCCCATTGTTCACGGTATCCGGCTGGTGAGTGTACGACAGGCCTTGCCAAGCAGGTTTCAGGAAGTCTTCCCTTATGAATTGCTCAATGCTGTACAATCAAAATGTTTTGGACTTGTCTATGGGTCCACCGACAACGTGGTCATATCTGCTCCGACAGGAAGCGGCAAAACAGCCATCTTAGAACTCGCCATTTGCAAACTCGCCCTGGACCGAGGCAACGAAAACTTCAAGATCGTCTACCAAGCTCCCACCAAAGCGCTTTGTTCTGAGAAGGCTAGGGATTGGGAAAAGAAGTTTAGCCATATGGGCTTGAAATGTGCTGAGCTAACCGGCGACACTTCTCAAGCTGAAATGAGGCGAGTCGGGGAAGCTTCCATTATTGTTACCACTCCCGAAAAGTGGGATTCTATAACACGCAAGTGGCAGGATCATCGGAGGCTTCTTCAACTTGTCGAGTTATTCCTCATCGACGAAGTTCACATCCTCAAGGACGTCCGCGGTGCTACCCTTGAGGCTGTGGTGTCGCGGATGAAGACGATTGGGGCTAATGTTCGTTTTGTTGCACTAAGCGCCACTGTTCCCAACTCAGATGACATCGCCAAATGGTTGGGACGCAATCACACCACTCAACAGCTGCCCGCTTACCGTGAGGTCTTTGGCGAAGAGTTCCGCCCCGTTAAGCTGCAGAAGTTTGTCTACGGATACGAATGCAATGGGAATGACTTCATCTTCGACAGGTTCCTGGACGGCAAGCTCCCCACGCTGCTCTCCAAACACAATCAACGGAAACCGACTTTGATCTTTTGCTTCACAAGGAAGTCATGCGAGTCCACGGCCACCAAACTGGCGGAGTATGCTTCGGGGTTGCCAGAAACTAACAGCCTGTGGCCGATTCCAACAAAGAGAATCCCTGTTGTCAGCCGCGAGCTGCAGGAGATTGTTCGGTTCGGTGTTGCTTTTCATCATGCGGGTCTTGACGTACAAGACAGAGTTGCTATTGAGCAGCATTTTCTGAACGGGGAGTTGAGCGTCATTTGTTGCACATCAACGTTGGCTGTTGGTGTCAACCTCCCATGTCATACGGTGGTCATGAAAGGAACTGTCGCTTTCATGGACGACAAGCTTCAGGAGTACTCGGATCTCGAGATCATGCAGATGCTTGGACGAGCGGGCCGGCCACAGTTCGATACCAGCGCTACCGCTATCATCTTGACGCGTGCTGCGAACAAATTACGCTACGAAAACATGGTCTCAGGTCGGGAAATTCTCGAAAGCACCCTGCATCTCAACCTCATTGAGCACCTCAACTCTGAGATATGTCTTGGTACGATCGGAGATCTCGCTTCAGCAAAGCTGTGGCTTGGGGGGACCTTCTTGAGTGTTCGTCTCAGACGAAACCCTGATCACTACCAACTTACAGAAGACATTTCCAATCCTTCTCAGATTGACGATAAGCTTGAAGAGATTTGCGAGCGTGACATAAAGCTTTTGCAAAACACCCAACTCGTGACTGCGGACGCGAAGTTCAAGTGTACAGAGTATGGCCGTGCAATGTCCAAGTACATGGTGGAGTTTGAGACGATGAAGTTGATATTGAAGATTCCGCATGCTGCCAGCACTGAGGTTCTAGTTCGTTTGTCTTATTAAACATTTGTATAGCAAGTAGCTAACTCAACTGCAGATCAATGCTCTCGCTGAAGCAGTGGAGTTCAAAGAGTTCCGCATAAAACCCGCTGAAAGAACACTCTTCCGCGAGATCAACAAGAACCCGCTTATCATGTATCCGGTGAAAGAACAAATCCAGCATACTCAACACAAAATCTCCCTGATTGTGCAGCTTCATCTTGGGAGTGTTCAATACCCAGATTCTGCCGAAGCAGCTAAGCTGAGACGACAGCTCATGATGGAAAAGAAGATGATATTCGAAAGACTCCAGCGTCTTAGCCGTGCTGTTATTGATTGCAAGGGGTTTGATCGCGATGCCCCCGGAGTAAAGAATGCGTTGGACTTGGCTAGGGCACTTTCCGCCGAGTCTTGGGAAGGTCGTCCAACACAACTCACCCAAATTCCCAACATTGGTCCAGTTGGTATGAGGAAACTGGCAAGCCAGGGCATTCGGACAGTGTTAGAGCTGGCAGAGAAAGAGAGCGTTGAACTCGAGCGTCTCATGTCCCGACAGCCACCGTTTGGAAAGAAACTAAAAGCAGATCTTGACAAGTTCCCTCGTCTCGATTTAGACGTGTCGGTCGTCAAATACATCACCCCCAAAAGACGCAATGAAGACGTAATACTCAACGTTCAAACGACACTCAAATATCTCAACAAGAACAGCCCCCCTAACTGGCTGGGCAGATGTCCGATGCTCACTTTCATGATCGAGTCTTCTAATGAGAATCTGCTATACTTTTGGCGTGCAAGTCTCAGGAAGATCGACAAACAGATTGGGCTGGTACTTCCAGTTTCTGTTCCGTTGAAAAGTCCTGATGAACGTATCATCTGTCACCTTAGCTGCGAGGAAATCGTTGGAACGCTCGTTTCGAAAGTTCTGAAGCACGAGGTACCCCTAGCGGCTTTTCCATCCCAGCAGTTTCGGCAGGGTAGAACATCGCCCGCAAACGGAGGGCAAACGCAGCGGCTATTGAAGGAAACAGCAGAAGAATACGTAGGTGATGATGGAATAGATGACTCGGACCTGCTCCAAGCAGCTGAAGAAGCAACTTCCTGTGCTCCTGTCATTCATGGAGCCAAGTGCCAAGTAGAATCAGACCCCGACGAGTATCCTGAGGTGGAAGAGCTCATGGAAGTCGCGGCACAAACGAGCGAGCCAGTGCATCAAAAGTTCGACAGACATATGGCTGCGAATGAGGTTGATGACTCGTGGGACATGGAGAACAGCCAGATGCTGGACCGTGAGCCTGTGCAATTGCCTAACGGGAGATGGCAGTGCAACCATGCTTGCAGTGGAGGAGCACCTACGAAATCGGGGAAGCCCTGTACTCACAAGTGTTGTCATGAGGGGCTCGAGAAACCAAGAAAGCGACCTAACAAAAAGCGCAAGGAGACAGAGCAAGGCAATAAGCAGAGCGAGTCTCAGAGCGTATTGACCCAAACGTCATTTGAGGCGTTGAGCAAGACATCAACAGGAAGTCAAGCGACCGCCAACAAGACAATCCCACGCGCCGCAACAGAGAAGGAGGCATTCGAGAAGCCCTACGCGCCGGTAAACAAGAAGCCTAAGTTGGAACTGTCCTTGCAGAAGCAAACCATCGACGGCGTCGATTTTGACTACATTGACCTTTCCTATGATGATGACGAGTTTGAAGATATTGCGGCCGGCGTTCAGCGGAAGACAACCGCAACAACCACTGTCTACCAGGGGCAACGCGCCAACACTAAGAGCCAGTCTTCACACAATGAGGCTTGGGGAGTCGCTCAGGCACAAACTGAAGGTACGAGAGGTTCCGCGGCGCCATCATCACAGGACCTGATGGCGGATCAGAGCATCGCGTTTCCTCTGTCAACCCAGGTCTATGGGGATGACCCATTTGACGCCGGCAATCTTGCACTCCTTGATAGCATGATGTTGCAAGCAAGTAACAGACACACAGCCAAATCGCCCTTCAGCATTGGCGGGAAGGATCAAGTTTTCTACCAGACTCCTTCCAGCCGGTCTCTCGAACTTGGCATGAACTTGACCGATGAACTCGTTCCGCTCAATCCACAGTCCGCGGGGAACATCGACCAGTCAGCCACCGTGACTGATCTCGACTGGGACGACGTACCAATGGAAGGTAAAGATCCTATGAACGATGACCGATCTGTTTCTTACACCATCGAAGCTCCTTCTCCACACGAACTTGCCCACGGCAGTCCCCAGACCCCCAACGTTGTCGAGAGTAATGAGGCCAAAGACCAGAGCCGAAAGATAGAGGGTGAGCCGGAGTGGGTATCGACCATGGACCCTGATGTTGTTGACATGCTTCGAGGCTTTGTGACATTCGTGTGAAAAAAGAGGGAAGCCGATGCAGTGTAGGATGATGGAGTGCTGGGTGCTGCTGTTGCTGGTTTTATTAGCTTATCTTCTTGGTGCGGTGATCTGGGTTGTCATGCTTCACATCTAGCATAGATAAACGTACTTCTACAATTGCCAGTTCGCCATAGCAGTTGAAGGCGAAGTTTTGCTAGTGAATGTGTGTCGAGTATCTCATTGCAAGGGCGCCGAAACTGGCATCATTTGTACGATCGTGTGCTCCTCTCTTTTTCGAAGCTTTAGAGGATATGCTACACAACATCTTTAACACATGTTATCGTGTCGAGGATACACGGCGGGAGACTCGCGAGTACAAATTTAGATACGTGTCGTCGAGGATTTGAGAATCAACTTGCCGGAGCCCTTCCCCAATGCTTGGGGCAACAGCGCCGCGTCCGCACATGAGGTGTGTCATGGATGACTCTACGGAGTAGTTCTTCACTTCTTTCGGACTCTATCGCCAGTGACATACATAGAAGGCGAGAGACCCCGCTGTATCTGGGGCTGAAACCACAGAAATCAGGATATAGCAACGGGAGACTGGTGATACGGGCCGATTATCAACATTAAACGCAACGGCCCAGACAGCCCCCCTTATTTCCGTATGCCCGCGGGGATCGTGGTCCACTGTCCCCCAATCATTGCGGACATAGTGACCCCCACCATTTGAAATTGGGGCCCCGCATCACCACCCACTGACTGCATCAGTCATCCATCTTCTTGGGAATCTGGGGTTGTTTTTAAAACATTGTCGCCGACGCTCTCGCATTCATCAAATTCTTCAAACACAAAAAGAAGTGTAGCTGTAATCATCGTCATAACTTTGTCAAAATGGTCGGAATCGCTCTGCTAGGCGCTGGCATTTTTGCCCGGGAGCGTAAGTCGTTGTTCAGTTCATCTTCCGAGCATTTCCCCAATTTCACCCCTCACTGATGTCATCACTTTTTTTTCCCTGGTGCTCACCAGCCACCATGACAACATCACCACCTACCACGGCATCCCAAGCAACACCATATAACAAATATCAAGTCCATCGACGACGACGGCGATGATGATGATGATACTTATACACGCCCCAATGTGACACAGCCCCCAACAAAATGTATCCAAGCTAACAAACTCCTCCGCCCCCCCCTTCTTCCACTCACTAGAACACCTCCCCGCAATCGAATCCGTTCCCTCCCTCTCCCTCAAAGCCATCTACTCCCGCTCCGAATCCTCCGCCAACACGCTCGCCTCGGCCGCCTCGTCTCCCGTAGACGTCTACTACGACGTGCCCACCGGCTCCGGCGAAGCCAATGTCGGGCCCGAAGAGAAGACCCTCGACGCTTTGCTCGCCCGCACCGACATCGACGCCGTCGTCATCGCCCTGCCCATCCTCGCGCAGCCGGCTGTCATCGAGAAGGCGCTCAAGGCCGGCAAACATGTGTTGAGCGAGAAGCCGGTGGCCAAGGATGTGGAGGAGGCGAAGCGGTTGGTTGGATTCTATGAGGCGCTGGACAAGAAGCCGTTGTGGGCGGTGGCCGAGAATTTCAGGTATACGCCTAGTCTTCTGAAGGCGGCGGAGAAGGTGAAGGAGATTGGGGGCAAGTTGACTACGTTCCGATTGAACATGAATGGGTGGGTGGAGGAGGGAAACAAGTATTTCAAGACTGAGTGTGAGTTTTTTGGGGGGGGGTTTCTTTCTCCCCCTTTCCCCCTTTGGTTTAGGTTTTTGTGGAGGGGTACGGTGGCTGACGAAAACACACACAAAATAAACAGGGCGCAAAGTCCCCTCCTACCAAGGCGGTTTCCTCCTCGATGGCGGTGTCCACTTCATCGCCGGCCTGCGCCTTCTGCTCTCCGAACTCAACCAAGAAATCACCCACGTCGCCGGCTTCAGCGCCCTCCTGGAGGAACGCCTGCTCCCCGTCGACACGGTGCACGCCGTTGCTTTGACCAACGACGGAAAGTCGGGAACCATCAGCATCTCGTTCGGCACCCAGTTCAAGACCGGACTCGAGGTCGAGGTAGTCACGACCCAAGGCTCCGTTTACTGGAACCCCACCCAGATCAAGACCAAGACAAAGGAGGGGGAGAAGACGGAGGAGTTTGAGAAGAGCACCGGTGTTAAGGAGGAGATGGCGGCGTTCGCTAAGGCGATTGAGAACGGACAGACGGAGAAGGAGCAGACGCCCGAGGAGGCGTTGAAGGATTTGGAGGTGGTGCAGAGGTTGTTGGAGTCGGGTGAGGGGAAGGGCATTGTCAAGGCGGTTGAGGCGTGAGTGAGTGTGTCTGGTAGGTTTGGTGAGGGTAGTTATTCGGATTCGGCGTCCGGGGTCTCGGTTGGCGAGAGTAGACCTTGGCGGGAGGCTCTGTTTTTTGCTGCGAGACGTTCTGGGCTATGACGGATGCGGGTCAGACCAGTGTCCAAAAGGGGGTTTCCAAGGACATGATCAGGTGTTGTAACTTACAGTAAAATACGAACATCGATAATGTTCAGCATCCAACACATGATGATGACGAGTATCCAAAGCACGATGGATATCTGCCAGGCATAGTGGTCTGTGGGACGAGAGGGGGTCAGTTGTGGAAACTGGCAAACATGGGACAAAGGGAGTGTGGGTGAAACACACAGTAAGGAGCCTGTGAAGCAGGCCATATAAGAACCTGGGACCAGGTCAAGACGGCGTAGACCCCGGCTATGGAGTACCCGACTATCAAGGTGCGAGCCTCTGAGTCTTGTGGCAGTCTATATGATCAAGATCAGCTTCCATAGTTCTTTCTCATTGTCACGACGAGCTTGGTGCAGGTAGGATGCGGACTTACATATCGGACAGCCAAGACATAATCAATGGCGCCGTTCCTAGACTCATATAAGTCATGAAGTAACTGGCGTAGGCGGCAGAAACCGGGGTGGTATCTGGATGAGAGGTCCAGATGCTCATGGTGATGCATGGAATCAGTCCAATCACGCCTTCAGGTTGATGACACCGATGTTAGTATGATCATGTTACCCCCAGTAATGTGCAGAAAACCTTATGGGTGTTCAACACACTCACTCACCTTGAGCAACCAACAGCGTCCACCGCGTCTGCAACAGATCCGATAAAATCGCCCAAATCCAAACTATCATGACAAACCACATCAGTCAGCCTCGTCCATTTGCACTTTCTCACCAGCCCTCCTCACACCAACCCATGTCCCCTTTCCTCAAACCTCCTCACCAACATTCTACCCAGTAGATAGGTAGGTAGGCAGATAGATACTCACCAAACACCACATTCACCCCATTTCCCGCAATCGGAATTGCATTCACCTGCTCAACGCTCCACCTCGGCCTCCCATTCTGGTCCTTTAGCTCCTTCAAGAAGAGGTTGAAATAATTGTACCCATAAGGCGCCAACACCGAAGCAACATACAGTGCCGGAATGAAGTAGGAGATCCATAACCTAAAGGTACGCTTGGCAGCGCGCCAAGTAATCTTTTTGGAGTCGGTTCGGCCGTGTCGTTTGAGGCGGTCCTCGGCGACTTGGATGTGTGCTGGGGTGAGCCAGCCGAAGCTCAGGGAAGGGGCTGAAGGGCAAGAGAATGTTTGAGGAGAGGCTTTGAGGCAGCGTGGATTGGGGGAGCGGGGGTAGTCCGGGATGAGGAAGAAGCCGGTGAATCCGATCAGGAGGGTTAGGAGGCCGTTTATAATGAAGAGCCATCTTGGTTATGGGAGAATGGGTTAGCGGTGGGTAAGTTGAGACGTTGGTTGAAGTTGAAGAGGTGTAGGATAAGATACAGTTGGAGGAAAAGAGGGGATGGAAGAGGAAAGGAAGGGGGTGGGGGGGAAACTACTAACCGCCAACCCCTAAGACCCCATTTGCCTTCAAGAGACTCGAGCACCGCAACCTGTAATGCCCCAGACATCATCGACCCCAATGCTTGACAAGAATGGTAAAAGCCCATGCGCTTTGCGAGTTCTAAGGGAGTGTACCAGTACACTGTTTCGTTTTCAAACCCAGCAGTCAAGTTGTCAGCTATCGTGTCGTTCAACGTTATATTCGTGCCTTGCATCACTACTTCCGTGTTTATGGGAGCCATGGCACTGATGGAGTCAGAAAAGGGTAGATGGGGTGGAACAGAAAAAAGAGAACGAGAAAGACAACAAGGAAACTGCACTGACTGAAAAGGGTCATCATGCCCGGCCATGCACTGCTTTCAAACAAGCCGAGCAAGACTCGCAAGGCGTAGACTTGGTGAGCATTCTGGGCGAAGGCAATGAGAGCCGTCACGAAACCCCATCCAATCTCGAGCCCTGGAAGCCAGTAGCTGGGACGAACGTACGTGATGATCACCTGGGAGGGGATGAGCATGAGACAGTAGGAGATGCTGAAGAAGGTGAGGAAGCTGGGAGGATATCAGCTGGCTTTGTCACATCTGGCATTACAACGGATATCGTTCGTTCTCACTAGTTTAACTCGTTGCCGTTGAGTTGCAAGTCTTCTTTCATGCCAGAGACGTATGCGGAGCTGATGTTGGTTTGGTCGAGATATCTGGACCGAGGTTGTCAATCTTGATTTTTTTCTTCTTACGACTTGGAAAGAAGAACATGGAAAGTTCTCACTTGATCACTGAGTTCAAGACATCATCATCAACTTCACGTCCTCACAAAGTTATCCATCAGCGTGCTATTCCAAACCTACCTTGCGAGATACACCCAAAAGTCAAGAGAAAGACATCCAGCCTCCGCACTAGATCCTTCTCCAACGGCGACCGTTCATTTTCATCCCGTTGCAGGAAAACGAGTCGCTTGGAGATAGTGTCCCAAAGTCGATGCTTTGCCGACGATGCTTGAGGTGATGTGGCATTCAACCGTTGTTCCTGACGAGGGTTTAATTGGCGCGCATGGGTCGCTTCATCGAGATCACTATGCTCCTCGCCGTCGCCATGTCCATGCCTAACCCTGCAACTGTTGGAAACACTAGGCCCAGGCTTGTTTCTGTTCTTGGTGGTGTTGTCGAGGTCCGTGTACCCGGGACTTTGACAATCGAAGAGCAACGGGGTATTCTCAAGGGCGGTGTTGGTAGCGGCGGGAGCATCCATCCCATCACGGAGTGAGTCCAATGGTTGGTGTCCACCGTCTTGCGACATTGCGACTCGTCCTGAAGTCTCTTCCAGACGGTCTTGCAGTGTGTTCTTGGAGGGGCAGAGGGAGGTCTGAACCGAACAGGCTGGGTACAAGTGGTTGGAGTCATAAAGGGACGGACATGGAGGACGGGGAAGGGGATCGAGATGTTGGCACGAGGACGAGGAATAGGGCCAAGGCAGTGTAGATCAAACGGTCGGGTTGGGGGACGTTGCCGCGGGGGACATTCGTGGGGGAGAGAGGGTGAGCTTGTTGGTGGTGGTTTGAGGCTCAATCCTACTTGGGATTGTTATCGTGGAGATGTGACAGGGGGTGATCAAGAAGCCGGCGAGGATGGCAGGCCAGCTGACTGCCACTTGTCCAAGCTTACTCTGCAGCTGTAGGTACAAGAGGAGGTCCATACTTTCGGACTGGTGGCGCAATGTAACAGCAGAATACCCTATGAATGCAATTACTGATAAATGTAAAGACCCAATAAATACTTGAGAGATTTTGGGTGCCTGAATTGATTTACTATGTCAAGGCCTACTACCGCTAAATGCAAGCTGGTTAGGCCTGGTTTTGTATTTAAGGGGTATCCTTCTATTGAGTATGCCCTTATGAGAGAAGGATCTCCGGCTCTCGGTAGAGGTCACTCACTCCACCTACTGTACTCCACTCGGGCAGCGGACCCCAGTGGGCGACGGCCGGGAACGGGACCCGTGCACTCGTACCGCGCTATGTGCAAATGGTCACTAAGTGCGAATAAAGATGGCCTATCCCAATTGCTTGTATTTACAGGGCAGGTGACCATACCGACGACCCCCGCATGTCCGAGCGAGTTCCGGTTCTGGAGATGTCCAGAGCGAGAAGGGAATGGCTGGTGGAAGAGATGTTTCCATTGACTAAAAGATACACTTTATCTTCAGGTTCTTGCAGGGGGGATCGAAAGGAGGTTGGTTGTTCTCGGGTTGTTGTGGGCGGCTTCAGTTTTAGCATTGTTCCGTCGTTTCTAGCGGCCTTCCCCCGTCATACCTACCTAACGTACCTTGTGTCCGATCACCAGCGCATACCCCCGAGTGTCCACTGCCTGTTCTTCCGTGTCAAGCCGGTGCAATCACGACGGGAAAGTCAAGACGCGTTCCATTCCTCTTTTGGATGCTCAGTTCTGGTGTTAGTTACACTAAACCTTCATTGGCCTGCCCATCAAGGAATATCGCTGCTCTTCACAAAAGTTGTCTCCTCCTTGCCAATCTCCATGGTCGCGTTAAACCAGGGAACAGCCAAAAAGAAAGGAGTCCCTTGTCTTGATAGGAATTGGACCCTGATTCGTCCCACATTCTTCGTCCAAACCTTATTTGGACATCTTCTCCGCCATGGCGTATGTAGCCCGCTCGCTCGCTTTTGCAACGAACCGAACGCAGTTAGTGGAAACTCGTATGTATGTATGTAAACAGACGAGAACCCTCGGACGTCCGCAATTTCCCCCTCAAATTGTTTCCGCCCGCTTGGTACTCCGTTAGCGTCCTCAGCTCATCAATTCCCAGGGCAACTCACTCCATCGCTATCCCTGGGACTCTCTTGCAATTTACCAAAGCTTCGGGGGCGGGCTTTGTCAGCCCCGTCGTCAGCATGGACGTCAGAACCGACATGTTGATCTCTTCCAGTGTGCTGGTTCCGTCCCGCTCGCTTCCGAATGTTTGGTTCTCCCAGATGTCTGGGACCGTAACCTGTGGGGAGGTGAGATTTTGGCGACCGACTTTTGCCCTGACATGTCAATGTCAATGTCAATGTCAACTGAATGAATGACATTCACCCGAATCACCTCTCAGGTTCCGAACATTGTGGGGTTCTGTTACACTTCCTTTCAACCGTCGTGCCCGGTCATCCTTTTTCCCGGCTGGTGTTCCTTTCCGTTGTCCCCTTTCCACTTGTTCGATGTACATACACTGGTGCAGCCGAGCAACCCAATGTCCGCCTGCCCCGTCCCGGGAAGTGACGGTATCCATCCGGTTACAGAACCCTTTACAACTATTGGAGTGCGCATTGCAGTGGGTTACAGCGGTGCCTGGTACTTGCTGGCCCTGCCGCCCCCTTCGTCCCCAACCGTGCCCGACGACCTGAGGGGAGGTATCTGGCTGGCTGACTGACTGGCCAGACCTGACCGGGCATCCCCGTTCAGGAATCCACGGTGTCGGTTACATACAAATACGTTTAGAGATCCACTTTTACTTGCTAGCAAGAAGCATCCTATTGGCTTATTTGTCTTTTTGGCTCCTGCTGGCTGCTGCCACAACGGCAACAAGTTCCCATTGGATGCCCCATGCTTCGTATCTCGCTAACAAGAGGAGTTGAAGTCCACACATTTCACTATCGCTACACGGAACTTATAGGGCCATATCATGTGTGACGAATACTACTAACTCGACTATACGTGAATCTCACGGCAACACAACCGCAACTTCGGTAGTTGGTTGTTCATACGTTACCGACACCCTACAGTTTTCACATGCTTGGTGGCGTACGCGCGCGCCGTTACCGCGCGCCACTGTCTCGAATCTTGCAGTCTGTCTTCATTTCAGGGTCCCATTGAGGAGCGGATTTCACTCCGGCACGGGGCACGGAACAAGGAAGGGCCTGCTACGTTATACATAAGGGCTGAGGAATTTGAGATGCATCTCCGTGTAACGCTACCTAGGGGGATTGCGATCGTTAAGAACAAGAACTACGGACTATTCTTTCCTTCCCACTTCCCATTTTAAAGTAACCCGTCGCTTGAGCATTCCTGCGTGTCGTGAAAAAAAAAGTCCGAGTGTAGAGCTTTGAACTGTGCTGGATGTGTATAATCGGGATCGCCTAGACGTAGGCGCCGCCCAAGTGCCCCAATGGTCCCCGGGGACGACCCAAAATCTCATTTCTTTTTCAGTTCCTCGCTCGCGTCAACGAGTTTAGCACCGAGCTTTTGAGAGACGTTGGATGACCCCCCGAGAAGTTCCCACAGTGCACGGACGTATGGAGTCCAAGTAAGACAGAAATTAACGAACCGAAAATTACACCACTTTCAGGTTGACAACGGTTCGGCAAAGGTTCAACAAGCCACTGTTACTACTGTAACCGCACCTGTGAGACAAACTAAAGTTCACTGCATTATATCGGTCATCATGTGCGTGTGTTTGTGTGTGTGTGTATGGATTTGCATTGTAAAACGTTCTTCTATGTTAGATTTATGAGGATCAAAGGCGTTTCGTTGCCTTCCTCATATTCGTTGCCCATGGTATCGCGCAAATAAAACAGATGGAAAGAAAATGTGGGTCTAGAAATTCACCCCGCTAACTCGAAGGGGAAGTTGCTCGGAGAAGATGGCTGAAAAGAAAACCGCCGTAGCAAATGAAGCTTATGTGTGCCTTTTGTGGCAAGCACTGAAGGCAACGCCCGTGTCCATGTCCGTGGAAGAAGAGATGGACAGAGCAAGGACTTTTGAGAACTGAGAAAGAGAAACAGAAAAGCACGAAAAAAAAAAAAAGAAAAAAAAAGAAGAGAAGGAGAATAACGACACTAGTGATTCTGGTCAACGGAAATGGTCCACTTCGTCTGAACCGTAATAACGCCAGGATCCTTAAAAGACCCCGGCTCGGCGGTTAGCTCAACCTCCGACCCGTCATCCCTGCTGAGGTTCCCCAGCCTGTTGTGATGACCGCGATGTTCCTTCTCTCCCGAAGCCGCAACAGCGGACTGGTGGTGGACATCCTTGTTGGAGGCGTACAGGTTCTCAAGGCCAATGTTGTCCTCATCGGCCAAGTGGCTGTTATTCTTGAGCCTGTTAAAGCCAGAATTCTTGGTGCCGCCAAAAGTAGCCGTGCCGTCTGAATTCGAGGGACCCAGCTTGGTGGTTCCTCGACGGGTGGTGCAGCGGGCCCAAAGAGAGCCCAACATGGGCATGCTAACGCAGAGAATAGCCAGATTAGGCTCAACGGTAGACCAGAAATCGGCATAGATCATGGTGCCAGTGAGGTTATTCATATCGAGGCCAACGAGGGTGACGATACGGATGATGGCGACGACGGAAGTGCTGTATGTTTTGGTTAGTATCAGAAGGCAAAAAACAGATGGCTAGAAGTAAAGGGTAAACTTACAGCAAACCGATCAAGAAAACGCCCGTCAGACCGGCTCTGGCAGTCCAGCTCATCTTCAAACCCCAGACGGTAGGCAAAGGCAGCGTCAGAATAACCACGTCGGTGACGACATTGAAGGCACCAATGGCAATGAAGGATGCCTTTTGACTACCGCACACGGCGTCCGGAGCTGACATGGGGTCGTAGGCAGCCCTAAAGGGGCGGCAGATCAAGAAGACCTGGAGAATGTTGCCTGTGCTCCAGAGTAGGACAAAGGTCATGGCAATCTTGGTCGCAGTGCGCAGGCCATCGTTGACGAAGACGCGCAAGTAGAAGAACATGACGGACAGCTTGACGGTGCTGATGCATGTGGCAAAGATGAGTTCGTACGAGACCAACAGCTTGAGAATAGGGACCAGGTTCATGTAGGTTTCTGTGAAGGGATAGCCGACACCCATTCCAATCCCTGTGATGCCAATATGTTAGATACCTGTTGTCACTGTAAAGCAGGAAGCAGTGAACTTACAACAGCCCTGGATGATGAGCATTCCAATACCTGCGATGCCATTTGTTAGATCTTGTCACTGTAAAGCACAAAGTGGAAAACTTTACCTTGAGGCACGGCAGCAAGAATGAGCCAGTCGTCCCACCACAGCTTGGCGCCAGACAGGAATCGAGCAAACATGCGCATTCCAATGACTCCTAGTGTCAATGCCACCAAACAGACGTTGATAATCAAGTGCGTCTTGACTATGCCCTTGGGCTCAAAGTATTTTGTGCCGAACAGGTGCGTCATCTCCGCGGGGTTGGGGGCCTCCATGATGTGTGGTGTTGTTTATCGTCTTCGTTGCTTTTTTTTTTTTTTTTTTTTTTTTGAACGGGTTCGACCTCGTGGGTCTTGTGTGCGTCGCCTTCGTTCCTTCCTTCTGGTTTCCTCTTTCACTTGCTCTTTCCTCTTCTTTTGTTCCCGTGATGTGTCTCTTTCCTATGGTTGCCTTGGGTAGGTGCTCCGACTCCAAGTGGAAAAGTGGAGTGGGTGAGTTCTGTAAGTTGTCAACGAGTGTGTGTGTGTGTGTGTGTGTGACAGACGTAGGATGCCGTCAAGTCAACAGATGGTTGTGTTGTTGGTGAGCCTGGGATGTTGATGCCGTAAATAGTGTTGTACGACCACCCTGGGAGGACGTTGTTGTTTCCCGGTGTAAATTACGGCTCGGGCCAGGTCGATCTGTGCTGTTCCAGAGACTCGGGTCCGGGTGGCTACCGGGACTGGTTGTCTTCGTTGAGAGTGTGTGGACTGTGCGTACAAAGGTTGGGATGAGACGGGAACGGGCGGGAAGGCCAGTTTTTGAAAACGTCTGAGCTCACAGCTTGCTTCTTTCTCTGGAGAGCCTTGTCGCGATAGGTCCCATGTTAGTTTATCCTTCCCCTTGGGGATAAGTATTGTCCTTGCTTTTTGTGGGAGAGTGGTGCGAAGCGAGGGCCTACCTAGACATAGAATATGCAGTGACGAGGGAGGCTGACGAGGGGTCAGTGTAGGATTGGAGCCTAGGAAGGAGCAAAGGAACGTTCCCCGAAAGAAGGTCTGGAAGTATGCTGTAGTGATCAATTCTTGGCCAGTGAAAATCACTGCTCTAGCCGGAGAATCGAAACCTTAGCGAAGATGACCTCGCGTCGACGGGAAGGTTGAACATTGGAAATCTGCGCTTATCCCCCGTCAACTACCGTAGGTATGGTGTACCCCGTCTGTTCGTTGAAGTTGCCTCCTGATGCTCCTGGGCTCCGGAATCAGACTGCCCTGGACGAGGTTGCAATCGACAACTAATGTAGGTCATGGCTCCATCAGGCGTCAAGTGCCGCTCGGGGACCAGACCCGGGGATCAGACCATCAGGACATTTCTTTTCTTTTTTTTTCTTCCTTCTGGGTCTTGCCCGTCTTCTGTTGCATCTGCAAAGCCCACTCGTTTCCGTCATCCTGGCACATGCCGCCTGGGCCTCCTGTCGGTGGGTGGGAACTTGACAATTTGACACTGACACAGGCAGAAGCTGGGCAACGGTCCATGAGACCCTGACTGCAAAGTCGGCAAGCAGCCAAGGCTCTCAATGTGACCTCTACCCGGCATAATCACGGTCTTCACCGAAATGCTGACCTCAAGGAATGTACCTAAACACACCGAAAATGAGCTAAACGTGTACAAGTGCTTCTGCCTACCTGGCGGGAAGTGAGGGCTTCCAGCCCAATGATAGAAGAGCTAAAGTTGCACGAGGCTAGGTCGCTCCCAGCGTAGTGTAGCGGCCGGAGGACGATAAGTGGATAATAATTTGTATGACCCATGTATCCATCAAAGGTAGCACTTTGACCACTGGGATGGAGGTTTGTGGGCCTATGGAGCTATTGTGTGGTTTTCCATTAATTCGAATTGCTGATGGTGGCGGTGCGGCACACGGCACGGCACGGCTGACTGTATTCGTACTGCCGCAGTCATGTACCGCCCGGGCTTATTCCTGTGTATGTAGCCCAGATGGTATTCTTCATGCGCGGTAGAAGTATGTATGCCGGCGGTAAGGCTCGCTTGCTGCCTGCCATGTGCGACCAACAATTGTGCAGTTGTTTTGGTCGGTGCAGACGACAAAGCGGGCCCCAAACTTGAACGGCACGAGTTGCTTTCCCATTTTCCCACAAGACCTAGCAAGCAGTTTTGCTTCAGAGCATAATAACAAAGGGTGGGCCATTAGGGATTCTGGCCACTCACAGCCACTGGTCACCAAAGGAGCGAGGATGCAGATGCATAGGCCGAAACCGACAAGTCCCCCAGTTCGGGGAAGAGCGACTACATAGCATGTTGGACGTATGTCGAGTGCCATATAACTTGAACCTGTTTGGCTCATACGTTGCAGCTTGCCTAGGGGTCTGATTCCCCAGTGGGAAATAAATCGACGATTCGCTTCATGTTGAACTTATGTTGTTGCTTCAATTTTCTTTCAGGGTGTTTATCAGGGTTCGAATGTCTCAGCGGAAGACAAAAAGAACATGTGCCGTTGAAGAATCGGCGATAGTGTGGAAACTTTCCCGAGCAACATGATTGGTTACTGAATACTTGGATTCTCCATTATTGACATAGCGCTGAATGCGGGTTGTTCGGTCCGACCCATGTCAACTCCAACGTCCATACATATTACGGTATCTGCCCCACTCATCTATCAGAACTCGGGCTGACATTGGCTGACTGGCCTTCTTTTAGAGTGTGGGCAAAACTGCCCTGTTCCTCGCTTGTTATGCCAACCCCTGAGCCCCTGACGAATACGGTTACACTACACTAGTGCAGTACTGGAAAGTTTGTTAGCGCGAAACGCAATACCTCTGGGGGATTTGATTGGCCTTGGAGGATAGTGTACATTTCGGAGAAGAACACCCGCTTCAGTTCCCTTCAAACTTTCGCACGACGACCATTCTCGCCGCCCCACTTCCACTAGGACCATCTCAAGCACCACCACTCAGAGTATTAACTTACCGAGAGAATCCTACCGACCTGACCCATACCTACCAACTGGAAACTGGAAGCAGTACACTAAAGTGCCTGTCCAAAAACCAAACCTTCCATCAGGTTCCAGGGCTGAATTGTACACTATTTCCCGACCGTCCGACTCCCACCTGTTTGGGACACTGAGACCATATTCTACTTCCTCAATCTCAAGACACTTTTGTATTTGTTCACAAACAGAATGACACCGTACCATCTGCGAACCATCCCCAAGGTCATACACGTCGGTGTATCTTGTATACCATTCCCCCAACCGCCCCGTTTTGCATGGCAAGCTTTCCCCTTATCCTTACATACCAAGCCAGACTATTTTACAGTAGAAACCCCTGCTCTGGCAACTAATGCAGGCAGTCCAGAACTTTCTGCAAAAGGGGGGGTTGTAAAAGCAGGCGTTTTAACTGTACCAAGCGAACCCATCATATACATACCCTTGATCGAAGCCACTACAAAATAACCCCAACACACCACACTTGCTCCATAGCATACGAATATACGCCCGCAATCCTGAACAGCCAAGAAGATGCAAAGTTAGACTGATGAACATGGTCTACCGACTCGTAAATATTCAACGGTGGAGTTGTGGCCCCAATTCCCCTTCCCCCTTCTCTCTTCCCTCCAAACTCTTGGGCTTCAGTTGCTGTTTGTACCAGCCTTGCCATCCCCGCTCTTTTTGCATGATCATGTATGGGAAATACTACTTTTCTCCACCAGGTTTTACCGGTGGCCCGGATGGGCTGGTGGGCAACAAGTCGAGGAGGCGATTACTGCTCCCAATCAACCGGGCTCTCTCCCACATCACGGCCAAAGTCTGGTCTGCTCTGGCGCCAAACCTGCGGAGCCTTTTGAAGTGACTATCATGAGTAGATCCATCATGAGGGACCACCAACACAAAGGAACGGGGTCTGTTGTGTATATTCTCTCAAGATCCTCTCGGGGTATGTCAAAGTCCCGATCTCCATCAAACATAACCACGATGCCGCACGATGTGTGTGTCCCGGTCTCAGCGCTGAATTCGCGTAGCACTTGCTGGTTGTCACTTTGTGCATGTGCTCCCGTGCAAAGTTAGATGGCGATTAGACACCTTTGTCAGGCCCAAGTTGTACGGTTTCCACTCCATGATTTCCGGAGCCCCGGAGGACTGCGTGGGGGGGGGGGACGGGGGTGGTGATCCTACCTTATAAGGTTCCTGCCCCGGCCCCGAGAAAACGGGTAATGTGTTGTCCAAACCGTACGCCCTCCACCTCCTGACGCCAAGCCCGCTGCTCCTACCCCCTCCCCCCTTTCCTCCTCCCCCCCCTTGCTACTTAAGCTTCAGCCCTTCTCCTTCTTACAACTTCTCAAGACACTCTTTTTTTATGCAATTAGCTGTTTAAATACAAGTCACATCATCACCATGGGCTCTGTTGCTGTTCCGCTAGCCGGACTCGAGGAGTCCTACGACTACATCATCGTCGGTGGTGGTACGGCCGGTTGCGTTCTCGCTAACCGTCTTACCGAGGACAAGGATGTCCGTGTCCTCCTGCTCGAGGCCGGTGATGACAAAACCACCGATCCCCTGGTTCTCACACCCGGCCTTGTCGCCGGCGTCTACGGCAAGGATGAGTACGACTGGAACTTTCAGTCTGTGCCTCAGGTAGGTTTTCTTCGTGGGCAGCAAGCATCCAATCAAAGCAAATTCAGGGACTTATCAGTAATGTAGTCCACTCTTAACAACCGCATCATCAACCAAGCCCGCGGTAAGATGCTCGGCGGTTCCTCCGCCCTCAATTTCATGATGCTGGTGTATCCCTCCAAGGCCTCTATCGACGCCTGGGCCGCCGTCGGTAACCCCAACTGGAACTTTGAGGCTCTCAAGCCTTACCTCAAGAAGTTCGCCACGGTGGACGTGCCCTCGGCCAGCACCAAGGACATCTGCTCCATCACGTACAACAACGACACGGTAGCCTACGGCGACGGCCCCGTCCAGGTCTCCTTCGGCGAGGGTTACGGCGTTACCAACAAGGGCTGGTTCGACACCTTTGAGTCGCTCGACCTGCTCTCCAAGAGGGACGCGCGCGACGGCCAGGCCCTGGGCGCCTTCCAGAACGCCAGCTCCATCGACCCGGCCACCAAGACGCGCTCCTTCTCTGCTGTTACTTATCTCACCCCCGAGGTCCGCGCCCGCGAGAACCTCAAGATCCTGACCAACACCCACGTCAACAAGGTCCTTTTTGATACTACCGGTTCTGAGCCCGTTGCCACCGGCGTCGAGATCAACGTCAATGGCATCGTCAGCCAAGTATCCGCCAGCCTCGAGGTCATCCTCTCCGCTGGCGCCCTCCAGTCCCCGCAAATCCTTGAGCTTTCCGGCGTCGGTAGCAAGGAGATCCTCACCCAGCACAACATCCCCGTTGTCGTCGAGAACCCCGCCGTTGGTGAGGGCATGCAGGACCACCCGATCGTGTGTCAGTCCTTCGAGGTCAAAGAGGGCACCCCCTCCGGCGACGTCCTGCGCGACCCTGCCGTGCTCAAGGCTCTGCTTGACATGTACACGGCCGACCGGTCCGGCCCCTTGGGCCAGTTGACCATCTCCGTCGCCTACACGCCCCTTGTCAACAAGACGGGCGTCATCTCGGACGAGGGTGTCAAGGAACTCTTTGCTGGTCGTGACTTCTCCAACCCTGCCCGCGCCGCGGTCCGCGACATCGTCACCAACCCCAACGAGCCCACTTTCCAGTACATCCTGTTCCCGACGCAGGTGCACATCGCCGACAAGCCCGACAACATGGCGACGCACCTGATCCCCGTCGAGCCCGAGAACTTTTTGACCGTCATGACCATCCTGAACTCACCCTTCTCGCGCGGGTCCGTGCACATCCAGTCCTCCGACCCCAAGGCAGCACCCGTGTGGGACCCCAAGTACAACCACGACGGTCTCGACATGGAGCTGCTTGCGCGCGGTGTGCAATTCGTCGAGCACCTGGTCGCCCCCGAGTCGGCGCTCGGTAAGCTTCTGAACCAGACCGGTCGTCGCCTGCCGCAGCTCAAGGGCGATGATCTCGAGACGGCCAAGGAGATTGTTCGCCAGAGACAGATTTCCGTCTTCCACGTTTCGGGATCGTGCTCCATGCGCCCCCGTGAGCAGGGTGGTGTCGTGAACGAGCGCCTCCAAGTGTACGGTGCCAAGGGACTTAGAGTCGTCGACGCTTCCATCTTCCCTATCGAGCCGGCGGGTAACATCCAGTCGGTTGTTTACTCGGTTGCTGAGCGGGCGGCGGATCTGATCAAGGAGGATCGCAAGGCGGTAAAGGTTTGAGGACACTCCATTTAATCCAGCAAGCGACTTGATTGATTGAAGTTTCTTTGTTTTTGTATAGCATTTTGGATATACCTTTTTACTTATAGCATGTGATGAATGATTAGTAAAGCTGATAACGTCTTTTCACGATCTCTTAGGAGAAATTTATGAAGTGAAGGGCCCAAGGAACATGAGCAGCATCGGCCTCGGAATGAGCAGAGGCAGTCTCAGTTCCCGTTCTGTACGGTCGTGTAAAGCTTGCTTTCGGGGCAATTGCTAACGGACAGCTTTACATTGTCTAATGCGTCTAAGAACGTTTTAGTACTATCTTCGCTTCATGTATCATGGAGTCTATACCCCCTTTCAAGTATGGTTTGATACCAATATCTTGTACGTCTACTACGCATCTGCAACATTCTGGGCTGCTCTGAGCGCACCAACGACAGAGAAGGCAATCACCGGAGTAGCAACGTAAGAAATCTGTTAGACAAGAGTTAGTAATACTTTTTTTTTTTTTTTTTTTTTTTTTGGCCTTTTTGATAGAGACAGGGAACTCACAGTGAGAAGCTTAGCCGTCGCCATCTTAGCTTGTTGAGGCAGGTTGTTGACATCGGCAAGCGCCACCAACCTCATAGCAGGCGGGCCAATAGGCATCATCATCATGGTGAACCACAGCACCGGGTCATCAAACAAGAGACCCGTCTTCTTGGCCAACCCCCAAATGATGGGGATACTTAGAGCCGGCATCACCAAGAATCTCCAAGCAAGAATAAACACAATGCTAGGCCACGGCACACGTCCTCCCTCATCTCCTTCCTTCATCTTGCGCAAGCTAAGACTGAGCTTGACGCCCACAATGATCACCTGCAGTGTAACAAACAGCTCGCCGGTGTTTTTGATGGGCGTAGTAAGCCAAGCCTTGAAGTATCCGCCCTCTTGCGAGTCGTTGAAGAACATACGGTGTAGAGCAGGAACCAAGCCGATGAGAACACCAGTCGATGCTCCCAGTGCTGGAGGGTTAAAGAAGGGCGCAATCCAGCTTACGGTCTTTTGGAGAGGCTTGGGCAAAGCATTGTAAGTCTTGTTCTGCGCATTCTCGATTTGCCGGGCCGTGGTCTTGGCGAAGCGTACGGCTTTCTTGGGGAGGAGCGACGTCGTCTCGGAGGGGCCAGAGCTATCACCGCTGTTGCTTCCAGACCCGTCGTGATCCTCCTCGTCTTCTTGGCCAGAATCCCGTCCGGACTCCGGGTCGCTGTCGGTCTGCCCGCCATCATCTTGATCGAGGAGTACCGGGCCGTAGCCAAAGGTTAGAGTGTTGCTGATGACGGCGCAAACAAGAAAATAGGAGCGGGCCTTTTCGACTACGTTGGGGTCGGAGGTCAAGTTCTTGAGGACTCCGGCGGCATCGAGTGCTTGGATGAGGAGGAGCGGCAGCGAGGTCGAGTTGTTGAATGCGAGGGCGGGGGTGGTCCATGCTGGAAGCTTGAAGATGCGGACGGATAGCTTGCCTACCACGATCGACAAGACAACGAAAATCAGGGACCAGACTGGGGTAGTATTTGTTAGCGTCGGGGGGTCTTTGCGTCAGTCACAGAGTTGGTGTGATATCATATACCAACAATGGGGAGATAGTGCATAGCAGTATCAGAATCGAGCTGCTTTCCCAGGTTGGCGACCAGCAACAACGGCAAGAAGATGGTGACACACATAGACGACAGGCGTTTGGCAGCTCCATCGTCGATGAGGTCGAACTGGGCCGCAAGGACACCGATCCATATGGTTATCAGAACGGATATGGCAGCTTGAATAGCCCCCATGAAGGAGACCAGAATATCCGATGACGCCATGCTATATCATAGGTTGGTGTTTCACTGCAGTCGAGTTTTGGTGATATTATAATTATGTCGAGTAAACTCTGATGTTTCTGCTGTCGACGAAGATGGGCGGCCGACTGAGGTGAGGAGGGGCTAGAACAAGCAGTGTACCAGCTGGGTGGGTGGGTGGTGCCAGGTTTAAGACATGGAATAAATGCCCGGTTGGAGGTTGAAATGTTCTGGGCAATCGACGATCTTGTCGCATTACGTCATGGTTCAGGAACCCGTCCGATCTTTGTTTGTGCTCCGTTAACGGAACAACCTTGGATGGCTGCCGTGCTTGCTTGCAGCTTCCTTTCCATCCAATGGCAATGCAAAGGGACTGTTTCTTCCGAAATATTTTTCAGCCGTCGGATCTTGGTTTTTTTTTTCCTTTCTCTTTTCACCATCGAAATCATGTTTTCTTCATTCTGGCTTCTTGGCAACCACCAACTGACTAAGTCCAGACTACCATTCAGAGCTCAACGCCACTGACTACATCACGACACGGATAAAATCTACGATCACTGGAACGACCAACATTGATTGCCAAGTACGATTTATATCGGGATATCGCAACATCATCAAATGCTATGAACTACACAGAACCGAAAATGAAAGAGGACAATGACATGTTCAACCTTTTCACAGCCCAAGATGCGACTTGACACTGAGCGCCTCCCTCCTGCTGGTGCTCTGAGGATCAAAGTACGGCCTCTCCCCCAGGCTGACCGCCCTGTTGCCCTTGCGCTCACCGAGACCTTCCTCAAAGACATAGTCGGGCGTGGCAGCGTGGTACACGCTCCTGTTATCCCAGATGGCAACATCGTTGGGGTTCTGCCACTTGAGGCGCACCTGCAGGTCGTGGTTCTCGACAATGAGCTGGACGAACCAGTTAAGGAAATGCTTGCTTTCCTCGTCGGTCAGGCCGTGGATGCGCTGGCAGTGGTGGCCGACTGCATAAACTGACCTCCAGCCGGTAACGGGATTGGTACGGATGACGGGGTGGATAGCCTCGAGAATCTCGCCTACGTTCTCGGGAGCGCCGCGCTCGCCGCTGTATATGCTAAAGTTGTTGCGCTTGGCCGCCTCGTTGAACAGGGGCTGGGCATAGTAGGCAGTGAGAGTGTCGAGGAAGGAGCGCAGAGTGGGCGAGATGCGGTCGTAGAGCTCGTAGCCCGAGGCCCAGAGCGTGTCGCCGCCGGTCTTGGGGAGCTGCACCAGCCTCAGGAGGGCATAGTCGCTGGGAATGGGCTCAAAGGTGATATCCGAGTGCCATTGGTCCTTGGCGCTCTGGCGGCCGCTATTGACACCGAAACCCTTGAACAAGTACTTGTCCTTGTACAGCGACTTGGCTTGCGCGGAGGAGATGACGCTGATCTCGTTATCTTCGACACCATGCTCGCGGCTGGCGTTGCTGATGGGGTGGATGTGAAGGCCCGAAGTCGCGGGCTTGCCGGCGAGCTTGCCTAGTCTGTCGACGAGTTCCTTCTGGAGGTCGTCGGTGAGCTTGTCCTGCTTGCGGAAGAAGACAACACCGCGTTGGGAGACTTGGGTTGCATGTTAGCATCAAGTCGGCGAATTCGGCGCAAGTTCATGGCTTACTGGTAATGGCAAGATCCCTCAGGAGCTTGTCAGAGTTGGGGGCGCGCAGCCACTCCACTAGATCGACGTTGACATACTCGCGACCGATAACAGGGGTGACCTCAAAGTTCTCGAATTGTTCGAGAGCACCACTGAGCTCAAGGGGCTCCTTGTGATCCTCGAATCTCTTGGGAAGACTTTCCGCCTCAGGACTATCGGTCTCGATGGCGGCGGCCTTTTGCTGAATAGGGAGGACCTTGGTCTTGATCTCGTCAACCGTCTGCTGGACGGACTCTACTGCTGAAGGAGACATGGTGAAGATTGCGAAAAGGGATATTGCCAAAGGGTATCTTGGAGAACAAAAGGCTCGGATTGCTCAATGGATGTCGGACTGAATGACTGAGTGGTAGCAAGAAGCTCCTTTTATGCCGAAAGTTCCGCTGAAAGGTCTAGAGGTATCGCCATGGTGTTGTTAGGTGATGCTATCGTCGGCGATTGTTCAGCCCCGAGTAGCGGCAAGTCGGCAGCCGTTGATATATGAAGTCCATGATGACAGAGCCATCGTGTCTGACGTGCGTGGCATCTGGCCTATCACAGAAGATCATATCATGGTTCGTTTCCTGAATAGGGACAAACGGAGAGGGGAAGTTGAGTGCAATGTTGCAGGGTGGCTCTCTCGTACATGTTAAGGAGCAGTGGCTCAATGATAAGCGTGCTTTCACCCCGCGTTGCCACCATTATATCAGTGGAGAAGGGTGGTTGTGAAATGGTTCCGCCCTCGTCGTTGAGCGGTGGTGCAATCTTGGCTTTGATCACGGAATCGCGAGTGCGAGTACAGCGTCATGGCGCCCAACCCGATTCGGCCAATGTTGCACATCTATGCAAGTTGCATATCAGTTGGACTGGAATGACACACCATGTGCTACCCATCTCTTCCAGAAGTCCTTGTCTTGATCCTGTTCTGTTCCATCTTTGGGATTGGGATTTGATCAAATGCCAATTGACAAATATCAAGCATCCCGCAAATCGTCTCACCTGTCAAGAAGCACTATCCTTACAGCTAGACACAGGATATAGCTGTTGATGTTACATAACCTCCTCAAGTTCTTTCGTCCCAGGTGTTCAGTTTCATCAATCTCCTTGCTCCCCCGTTGCTATAGCCAACCAAGCCACCCACGTGCTCTCTCGAGGATATCAATCTCGGTCAAGGGCCAATCCCAGGAGTTGCAATGACTTCAACGTCGCAGAAATGAGGTGCACGAACATGTAGGTATACCAATAACCACATAACGTCGGTACTGAAAGCGCTCATTATCATCAAGGTCTCTTTCGTAACGCTACGACGTGCGTTTCAAACATCAGCTCATGTTCTGGACCGTCACCCTGTAGGCGAGCGTCGTGAGATCCAATCGGAAAATTCACCTGAGACTCCAAGGTTTACCCCTGCCAAGACAGCCACAAGAAGAAGAAGTCAGTTTCCTTATGAAGATCTTCGTGGATAAGGTAGGTATCAGTGTGCCCCATTGCTCGATCTTGGAATAAGCTTAAATGCTTGTTTTGTGTCTCGAACGTTTTGGTCTGGAGATGCGCTCGCTGTAAGGCAAGTTTACCCGGCAATCCTTTGATAAACTTCATGTTGTTTTGTCACCAAGTACATCTACTCGACTTTGTTCATCTCTTTCCCCATTATCATCAGTGACTTTCCTCTGCAGTCTCGTTAATTAAAGAACTCGAAATGAAGCTGCGCCTCCGTGAAGGAACGGAAAGGGACGACCTGAGCGAAACCCCAAACACCCAAGAACGCCAAGCATCATGATCACTGGACTGCCAGGACGGCAGGCGCTCTCTTGGCTGTCGCACAACTCCCCTCATTGCATCTGCTTGGCTTGATGAAGAAATCGGAAGACTGCCCCTGGCTGCCCGTGACGGCGACTACCGAGACAAACCCACCACAACCCCTGGTACAGAGTCTAGACTCCTGACGGCCTCTAACGTTCGCAGAGACCCTGGACTACGTACCAGCTCCACCAAGGCGACAGACATCCCTTGCGATGCACCCCAAGCTGGGGTCAAACACGGCCAAACGATTCCCCATCCGGAAAGTGTCCAGCGTAGGACATCAGCCACGTCAAGCTGCCTTGTAAAAATCTTCCGCACGTACATCTTCACTCGAGTTACCACGCCAAAACGCACACTCAACGTGCCGGATGAGTATGCGACGAATACAAGAGGCATGCGATATGCAAGTTAACAAGGCAAGTCAACTCCCTGACTTGGCTTGAAGTGACCGCCGAGTACTTTTTTACAACCAAGTCAACACTGTTGCATCTTTGTACCTGCATCTGGTTTGGCTTGCCCAGCTTCCCCAGCTTCCCCAGACGGACCAACCGACCAATCCAACCTCCTCGTCGAAACAAAGGGGCTTGTTGTCACGATGCTCGGACTTTTGACTGGATGCTTCCGTGCCCTTCATGGCTTCTTGTCGGTTGGACGTACATTGGTTAGCATCATGTAAGTCATGGAAGACTTCAACTGACATTGGTAGCGAGGCGCATCGGTGTATCGGATCTCTCGGCTCGGCGCGAGGATATCTAGGCCTCAAGCACCCACCTCATGGTGCCATGTTTTCTTGTTTACTTCATGCTAACTGTACAATCTTGTGGCTTCCGTCACCTACTTCACTTCTTGTTGTGTATTTCCCGTTTGCCTTTACTTTTTTTGCTAGTCATATTGTCAGTAGGTCTGGAACCACTGACAGATACCCTATAACTCGTTGTTCTTGTCCTGTCCGGTTGTTCTGCCGTTGGCTCGAGCTTTGCTTCACTCCCACCTAGCCCCACGCAGTCTGCATAATCATCTCCATCACATATATACCTATATACTCGGTATCCCGCGAGAAACTTGATTTCTCTGTTTCCATCCCTAATCACATCTTTCCTCCCGTCGAAATTATGGCCAGGCTATTCAGATCATTGATGCTGGCGGCGGCCGCGTCTGTGACGCCCGTCTGGTCGCTCTGCTCGCACAACACTTTCCTCCACCCGCGAGAGGAGGGCAAGGCAGTCGAAGTCAAGAAGTTCGGATACATTGGCGTCACCGGTCCGATGTTCTGGTCATCGTTGGCGCCCGAGAACACCGCCTGCTCCACGGGAAGACGACAGTCGCCTATCGATATGACGGGAACATCATTCAATATGGTACCCTCGTCTGAAATCCAGATCGACATCCCCGATTTCACTGAGGGCACCGAGTTCGAGAACCTCGGAACCACCATCGAGGTCATTGCGAAGGGCGGCTCCATGACTTTCGGTGAGAAGCAGTACACCCTGCAGCAGTTCCATTTCCACTTGCCTAGCGAGCACCTGGACAATGGTACAAGTAGAGCCAGTGAGTATTTCTCAAAATCCACTCTTTGATGTCAGCAATCACTAACACTTTCGTAAAAGTGGAAATGCACATGGTCTGGCAAACCGAGAACCAGGAACTTGCTGTCATCGGCACCTACATTGACGTCGCCATCGAGGCTGGTTCCGCACGTATCATTCCTCCCGTCGCTGCTCCGGCTCCTCCTGCTCCTCCGGCTCCCAGCGGCGTTCCTGTTCCCCCTCACACCAACAAGACCGCCCCAGATGCACCAGCAGCCAGGTTCCGCATCAGGGGAAGCAGAAGCCATAGAGAGCAAGAAGTCATTATGCCTCCTTCTACCAACGAGACGGTCCCAGTGCGCCCTGTGCGTCCAGACGCCCCAGTCTCCGATGCGCCTACCGTCCTTCTCGAGACCATCTTCAGCACTGTCGACGCCATCCGCACGCCCGGCACCGTGACCCAGACCGCTCCCTTGATCCTATCCGAGGTGGTCAACATCTGGAAGTCGGGTCACTTCCAGGGGTACGTGTCTGGTTTTCTTCCTCTCCATCCACCGTTCTCTCCATCTCTCCACCGACCCTTTTTCCGGCTCGCTCATCACTAACCTGTTCCCAACTCCAACAGTTACATCGGGTCCCTCACCACCCCTCCCTGCAGTGAGGGCGTCATGTGGCTCGTGTCGACGCAGACGCTCAGGATCTCGCCTTTGACGTTTGAAAATGTTCGTAGTGTCATCGGCTTCAACTCGCGCTTTACGCAGAATGCGCCCGGTCAGGATAATATCCTTGCTAAGGCAGGCTGCGCCGCAGCCGGAACTGAGTGAGGCGGCTGAAGCTGGGATGGAAGCGGGAGAACTATATATGCTAGTACACCGGTTAGGCTTGAATACAAATCAAAGGGTTACAGTGGTTAGCCATTGATATTGTTGAGGAGTAACGCAATCTGTGAGTTTGTGTGATTTCTGTTAGAGTCAAGATACGTTGCCCCTGAAGGAGATAAATTACCCTGACAGCAATAGCTCTGCAGGCAAAGCGACGCAACAAAAAAAAAAAAAAAAAAAAAAAAAAAAAAAAAAAATCAAGCACAGAAGGATATTGAGTAAGTTGAAAAGAAAAAATTGCAAAAAGAGAAGGCGCGTTTGTAACGCCGGGAATTGAGCCCGACGTGGGGGTCGAACCCACAACCTTGAGATTAAGAGTCTCACGCTCTACCGATTGAGCTAGCCGGGCAGCCAAAGCTGCCAGTTGGTTGGTAGCGGACTTCAAAGAAAGTTCCTATAATGGCACATGATTCCAAGTGCGCAACATGGCTTCTTGACGTGATGCTATTCCGGCCGTTGCGAGAATGATTCTGTGCGTAAGTGCAAATTAGTAATTGTGATTCGGCGCTGGCTTGAACACTGACGTTCATTTTGCGCGCCCGTGCGAAGTTGCTGTTCGATCTTGGCATGCAGTCGGTTCTTGTGTCTCCATATCCTGTCGTCATGAGTGAGAAGGTTTATACGATCGGAACCAGCAAGGGGAGGAAGGTTTTGATCTGATATTATTCCAAGATCGATCGAGAAAGGGGCAGTTGAATTGCTTCTCCGCATGTTCGTCATTCGATGTTCCTTCTCCAACGAGTGCACTGCAGTTAAGGCACGAACAGTGAATGTGAGCTCGCGTCACTGTCGCAGAAATGGTGATGTCATACCGATGCCGCGTTCACTTACACCCCGAGAACCCTTGTGGTCAACCATAGTGTTATATAACAACCATCACCACTGCTGCAATTTGCAACGATTTCGACAATCAAGAACAACTGCACCCGGAGACTGTCGATTAAAGCTGTCAATAGCAAACACATTCAACTCTGAACAACAAGAAACGCCATCCAAAATACAGATCATAGCACTCAACCCATCCAAAATGGTCCGCGCTACTCCCGCCATCCGCACCGCTCTCCGCCCCGTCGTCCGTGCCCGCCCCCAGCGCGCTCAACAGGTCCGTTTCCGGAGCACCGAGTCTACCGATAGCGCTCGCGACAAGGGTCCCGTCAAGGACTTCAACAAGACCGGTAACACCAACAAGCCATGGCTGTACGTTTTCCCTTCCTTCCATTCACTCCAACAATCTGCTTTGCTCTGCTCAAGCACACCCTTCCCTCATCAAACTCACTACGCTAAGATGCTAACCAACTTGTCACCCCCCAAAAACAGCTACGCAGGCGTTGCTGGCCTCACCCTGGGCGGCATCTACGCCACGATGATGGGCAATCCCGACAAGGCTGCTGGCGCCGCGCAGAAGATTGATCAGAAGCTTGATTTCGTTGCTGAGGGGAAGAGTGCGCCTCATACCCCACATGTTGGTGACAGGAAGTAACGAAACGACTTACAGCCGGTTAATCGAGCGATGGAGGTTTTGGTTCGAATGAGTTTATGACTTTCTTACATTTACTTTGGGGGAATTGGGAGTCATTTGCGAGATGGCGTTCTTTTGAGTTAGTTTACCTAGTTAACGGGGTGGATGGATGGGAGGTCCCCACACGATGGATGATAAGATGTTTCGCGGCCGTGATGTGGAAATGTGTGGATGGTGTGGCTAGGAAGGGAAAAAGGAGACGGGACGGCATTGAATGGTGCCATGTTTGAGTTACAGGATGGAAACTGGCAAATGCTAAGGCAGTACAATAGTCATTTGAACTAGGATTTGAAAAGATCAAGACACCCTCGCTGGGGAACCTCTACGGAAGAAAGGAGGGCATTTACAGATGGAAAGCCAGTACATAGCTGGTTGGAAGGCGGGCTGGTCATGGCAATTGCTGCATATGATGCCACCTGCGCTAACCTATTTCAACAACAAATCACAAGGCCCGCATGGCTCAGTGGTAGAGCGCATCACTAGTAATGATGAGGTCGTCAGTTCGATTCTGGCTGTGGGCATTTCCTTTTGCTTTTTTTGCCCCTTTTCGGCTTGCCTCTTCTTTTTTTTCTCCTTTGTGTCAAATGACTGTTTAACTTTTGTTCAGCCTCTTCGCCTTTTTTTTTCTTTCTTTTCAAAATCTTCTTTCTTATATTTTCTCAACGAACCCAACTCACCTCTCGACAGTTCACAACAGTATGGAACTCTATTTCCGTGATTCTTTGGCATCACAACAACATCCATCCGGTGTTAATATGACTTTGTCAACTCAGCATCAAGAATGATCAGTCAAAAGTACCAAATCCTCTTTCCATTTCTTACCCAACTGAGGCCCTGTCAAATAGTTTCCCCTCTTCCAACTTAATGACTTGCAAACGCTGGCATGTCCGCGTCCTAATCCGATCTTTGCATGTCTGCATCCCTGGATGTTCTGCATCTCGTTTCCATTCTTCATCACACTTTGTTTACTTTGTTGTTGTTTCCAGCCAGCCAGACCCTTTTGACTTACGTACATCTCCCGCTTCTCAGCTCGTACACGAGAAGATGGCGTCGCCATCTACGGGAAGTCAAGTAAGACAAGATCTGCGGCCTTGTCGCTATGTACCGTCTTTTTGTGAAACTACCTCTACATACCCCGCAGTTTTGGTGTACCGTTGGGCTTGCTGGTTTGTATGGACCCTTGAACTTTTCTTTTTCTCGGGACTTGTCCCCCTCTGTCCCTCCTCGGTGGCTTGCGGGGAGCTTTTGACCGAGACACAGGGCACCCGATGAATGCGTGTAAAGAAGGGGTTGTGTAACACTTGTACTAGCTGGCTAGGTACACACAACCTGAGGGCTTCCTTGTATACTATGCGATTGAGGCTTTCTTTGTCTGTATGTTTTGGGCTCCGTGGGGTTTTGTGACACTTGACTGAGCGCCGTGGTTAGGTCGGAATGACTTCCGGATGGTAGAGGTATGTAAGTAAGAAGGGAGTCTCTTTTCAGGAAGACGCTGGGTAGGTTGGGCATATAGCCACCTAGTTACGATATTGAAGAGGAAAAAGGCAGCCAGCCAACGGGCGGAACTGAGGACAGCCTCCTGAATGAAGAGAAGAGGGAGAGGGAACAGTACAGTGCTTTTGTTGAGGCGCTTAGAAGCAAGACAACGAGTTGAACAGGAATCTCGCCATGGGTAAGGCGTGTCTTATGCTTGACTGTACGCGGGATCACTCTAACTGCCTAGCTGACTTGCATGTAGTCAATAACGCTTGGTCACCGGCCCGGATGAGGCAAGTAGGATGTTCCTTGATCACCCATCTCACCGATAAAATCCAAGTCCAAGTCTGAGTGGTAACTGCAAGTCTGTAAATGAGGTGTTTTTCAAGCTGTGGAAGTTGTGAGATGTTGCACCTACCTACCTACTTACTACCCCTGTTGTTTACTTCCAGCCTGTTGTTAGTTCTCAGGAGTGGTCGGGGATGGGTACAAAGAGGGTGTTTGACACCCACCGCATAGCCCGCGATGCCCAACCAACAATATCATCGCCTTAGTTGTAAGCCAAGAAGATCTGTACTTTGTAAGAACTCGGGATAGGTGTTAAAGACGTCGAAAACCCAGAGTGTACTTAGTGTCTTTAGCGTTAGCATCAAGCCCTCGTCACTGACCTACCTCCCTTCCAACGAGTGAGAAGTGGTTGTCGAACAACTTGTAAACCAACGGAGAAAGTAGAGCTACCAGTCAGGCTAGATGTATGCTTTCGACACCGCCCTTACCGTGCAGATCGGACAACCAGTCGAATCAAGCCAGTCAAGTCATTCTGAGGGGATGAGGGGGAGAGGGGGGAATTGTCTGGTGACACGTTCCATCATCTCCACAACCCGAAACATGTCGACACCAGAAGGAAGCTGCAGGCTTGCGAATATGTAATGGAAACTGTTAATTGAGCCAGAGATGGACGATGTCGACGACGAGAAGGCATTGAGGTGAGAAAAGCCAAAGGGGAAAGGAAGCTGAAGTGAAGTCCGACTCTGGGTCATCAAGTATAAAAGCATCTCTGCTCCTCCTTCCCAAAGGTCGAAAGAAAAACATCATCAGATCTCATCAACTCAAACCAGACAGACTCCTTTGAATAACTTCCTTCAAAGCACTCAAGGTTAGCCTCAACCTTCTCCAGCCTCCCATCTCCAATCTACCTTCCTCTCTCTTCCTCTCTGTTCCTCTCTCTTCCTCTCTCTTCCTCCTTCCTCCTCCTACTGCCTCCTCCCCATCCCATCTCATCCAGCTGACATCGCCCATCCCCATCCAGCTACCCAACCAACAACTTAACTCAACCTAACCCAACCACCAAAATGTCCTACACCATCCACCTCCGCCTCATCAACGACACCTCCGACTCTCTCCAGCTCGTCGAACAAACCTGCTGGTTCGGCCATGGCACCCGCTGGTCGCAAATTGACTCCACGGGCGTATACGTCCTCTCCATGAACAATTCCGGGTCCTCGGGCATGTTGCGCTTCCAGACTAGCAAGGGCGGCGACTACTTTGCCGTGGCGGTCGGCGTGCACAACTACAAGCGGTGGTGCGACATTCAGGTCGATACTGCTGACGATGCTCCCCTGACGAAGTTGCATCCCAAGTATTATGATGAGAAGGATGCCAAGTATAAGGCGCTGTGGGCGCAGGCGAGCGAATTCGAGGCAAAGGCGAAGAGTGGGAAGACGGTGAGAATCAAGTTTTATCAGGCGGAGGGGAATGTCTTGAGGGCGACTGTCGAATATGTTTGAGTTGGTGGTGAATGCGAGTGGATGGTGAGACAGGGTGGAGGTGAACGATGTGCTGGAAAGGGGGAAAGGTGTGTTGGACAGGCAAGCTGGAGAAAGACAACAACGGAACAAGATGGACGATGGAACACCATGTGAAAAAAAGCCAACCGGCATTACGCTCTTTTATTGGCTTGGAAGCTCTGAAGCATCCGATCTTAGACGCTCGTTCAAAATAGCTGTCATCACTGAAAACAAAACCCAAACATCCTTACTTTTCCCAGCTTTTGCTCCCTCTATATCCCTTATAAACAAGTGCCAGCCTTTGTTCCCAGGCATGAACATAATTAAACCCTTGAATAGCATCTGTAAATCATCATGTCTTAATGTCATCGCTCATGCGGCTCGAAATTATGGCCAAATTAAACACCTGTACCCCGGTCCGTGCTATGCAAATCATACAACTCTCTCAACTCGACGTCAACTCTAGAGAATACCAGCAAGCTTCAACGCGTTAGGGTTGGCAGCGAAGAGAGCCTGGTTGGCGCTGTAAAGCTGGTGAACAAGCTTCCTCACAAGCTCACGAGTCTCGTCGCTGAGCTGATCCTCAGGAGGGCTGAGGACAGACTCAAGGACAGGGATGACCTTGGGAGTAAGAGAGTTGATAGTGGGCTCGCCCTGCTCGTAGAGCTTGTAGATGCACTGGTAGACAGGAGTGTTCTCCTCGTAGTCCTCCTTCAAGGGCAGGAGATCGACCAGAGCGGGAAGAACCTGGGCAAGAGGAACACGGTCGGGGTGAGCAAGGATCATGCGGCACAAGCAGCCAGAGGCGTTATCCTTGATACGAGCCTCGGGAATCTGGAGCATGGGGGCCAGCTTGTGGAGGATGGTTTCGTACTGGGGAAGGTAGGTGTTGCTGTCGGTGGAGTGGAGAATGAGCTGGCCGGTAGCGTAGGCAGCGTTGCTCTTGGTCTCGTTATCGGTGTCAGAGAGACGCTTGAGGAGCAGATGCATAAGCTTGCCAGTGTAGGGGGTGACGGTGGCACCCATGTTGGCAGCGCACTCAGCGATCACACCGACACCGGTGGAGCGCTCGAGGTTCTCAGCCTCAGAGGAGGCGAACTTCAAGATGGGCTTCTCGAAGATCTTCCAGAGCTCAGAGAAGGCGGGGCCAAGAGCGACGGCGAGGCCAATCACGACATCGAGGGCAGTGTCGATAACAAGCCAGTCGTACTCGGAAGAGCCCTCAACCTCCTGCTCCTCATCCTCGTCACCAAGATCCTGCTGGCAAGGGTGGGAGCGGGTGATGATAGTGCTGAGGATGCTGATGGTCTCCTTCATGAAGTCGCCCTGGGCAAGGATGGCAGGACCGCAGGCCTTGAGAGTGGCGGCAACGTTGCGGTTGACCTCGGTAACGACGGCACTTTTCAACAGTTAGCTTCATGCTGCAGAAGTTGATTGATCAAACAAGGTAGGGTATGATGTTCATGTCAGGAGTAGATGTAGCGCGTTCTCAGCATCGACAATTATTTTGCCTCTGAGTGAGCTGGGTTTAACGCAAAGTTGCTCATCATTCGAACAGTCAAGGGATGAAAGGGAAAGAAAGTGTACGTACCGGTCCATCTCCTCCAACCACACCTTGAGGGTGGCGCTGGTAACAATCTCGCCGAGCTTGACAAGAGTGACAGTGGGCTGGGTCTTGAGGGGAAGACCGGGCTCCCAGTTAGAGCCAGTCTCCTCCTCCATAAGCTGCCAGACGCGGGCATAAGCGCGCCACAAAGTAGCGATGGCAGCCTTGCGGCAGCCCTCGTAAGGGTGCTCAAGGAGAGGGGAGATCATCTCGACGGCCTTCTCAAGGTACTCCTTGATCTCGGCGCCGGAGCAAGAATGGGTGATAATATCGCCCATGATCTCAATGGCAACCTCCTTCTCGAAAGCCTCAGGGGAGATGCCAATGTCCTCCCAATCCTCGCCCTCTTCATCATCCATGATATCCTCGTCATCGTTGGCCTTGACCTTGAGGCGCTTGCCACCGGTGATGATCTCCTCATCAGTGCCGGCAATGGCACGCTCAGCCTCGGAGAGCTCGAGGTTGATCTCCTCCTCCTCAAGCTCAAGGCTGTGGAACAAGCCCTTGAAGACACCGGGAAGGAAGGGAGAGAAGTCCTTCTCGTAGACCTTGGAGAGGCAGCTCCAGAGGATGAAAGAGGACTCGCGGAGTCTGGTGCTATCGAGATGAAGGGCCTCCTCGCTGGACTTCATGAGAGGAAGGACGTAGGGCTGGAAGGTCTGAGCACCGACGGCAGTGGCGATGCGACCGACGGAGTCGCAAACACCGCTGCGAAGGGCAAGGTCGTCCTCAGTCTCCTTGATGGTGAGGTAAGCCCCGAGGGCGTGCATGATGTTGTCGAAGTAGGGCTTGAACTCCTCGCCAAGAGCCTCGGCAATGGCACCGATAGCACCGGAAGCAGCTACCTTGACCTTGTAGTCCTCGTGGCCGATCAGAGCGCCGATGTTAGCGACAAGCTCGCCAGCATACTGCTTCATGAACTCGGCATCGAGACCATCGGACATGGAGTCAAGAGCACCGCAAACAGAACGGATGATCTCGACATTCTTCTTGGCCTGGGTGGTATCGTTGGAGGCGGCCATGGAAGCCTGGAGGTTCTTGACAAGAGCAGTCATAATAGGCTCGTTGTAAGGGGAGAGCTCAGAGGCGATGTCATCCGCAAGGCGAGACAGACCGACAAGGGCGGCGTGCCTGACACCAACATCCTGGTCGTTGAGCAGGGTGATGACATGGGGCATGATGGACTTGATCTGGTTGGCGATGAAGTCGGGAGCACCCTCGACGACGGTGCCGAGAGCAAGGATACCGGCCTTTCTGTAGCCAGCCTCGGAGTTGGTGGCGAACTTGGGGAAGGCGTTGAGAAGGGGAACGATAACCTGGCGAGGAGGAAGGTCGCTGGCAAGCTGATCGAGCAGCATGAGAGCGGAGCGGGCGGGGCTCATATCATCCTCATCCTCATCGTCGTCGATCTCGGTGAGAATGACCATGCTCTTGATGGTGAGCTCCTCGCCAACATCGCGCATGCCCTGGATCTTCATGCGCCTGTAACGGACAGTCTGGGCGAGGAAAGCAAGAGCCTGAGCGCGGACCTCATCCTCAGCCTGGGGGTTGCCGCCGAGGTCAATCATCAGCTTGACAAGATCCTTAAGGTACTTGCCGAGCAGCGAAGACTCGCAAGCCAAGAACTGCTGGAAAACGTCGAAAGCCTGAGCAATCTTCTCATCATCGCCAGACTCAACGACGTGCTTGAGAACGTCGACCATGGAGGGAACGAGGGTCTGAAGGGCATTAACGGCCTGGGGATCCTCCTCGGGATCGAACATGAGGAGGCAGGCGCCAATGGACATCATGGTGTTGATGCGAACATCAGCGCTCTGGGGGTCGCGGAGAGTGTGGTTGAAGATCTCGAGAAGCTTGCGGAGGTCCTCGAAGGCCGTGGGGTTGGCCTCGATCAAGCTGAAGATGATGTAGGTACCGACTTCACGCTGGTTGACATCGGCGTTGGTAGCCAAGTTCATGGCAATGTCGCGGAGATCGTCCCACTCGCCCTCCTCGAAGTCAAAGCAGGCGATGACAGCGATAAGACGGGAAGCGGTATGGCGGCACTTGGGGTTCTGCTCCTTCAGAGTGGCCTCGAGGAGGACCTGGCGGACCTGCACCTTCTGGGCCTTGGGGATCTTGCCCCAATGCTTGGTGACGAGTCTGGCAGCCTGGACGGCGGCCAATTGCCTGACACCGAGGTCATCGTGTGTCGCGAAAACTTCGATGAGGAGGAGAAGGCACTCGGGGTGAACATAGTAGTTCTTTTGGAGCTCAGCCGTGATGGCCTTGACTCTCTGGGTATCAGCTGGAGAGGAGGGGTCAGCTTTGCGCGTTCATTTTTTTCTTCTTCTTTGTGTCGCGGACGAGGGAAATTGGAAAAAGTGCTTACGAATCTGCGACTCCTTGAGGAGCGCGGCAAGCGTTTGCTTGTCCATGGCGCTTCAAGGAAATGTGAACAGAAGGGGTATCAAAAAGAAAACAGCGAAAAGATGAACAGAACAGCGAAGAAAAAAAGAAAGGGAAAAGAAAAAGAAGATCCCGTCGGGCACACCGCGGGAGGGGATAGCAAGGGTTTTTGAAGAGGGGGGGCACAGTACTGCAGTGAAGAGACTGGAGGCGAAGATGGGATGGAAAGACGAGACCCCGGGGAGAACCTGGAGGTGTCGTGAAGAAGAAAAAAAAAATTTGGATTTTGATCAAATTCCACTGTGGAATCGCGGCTGATAAGAGATTAGAAATTTTGCTGCGGGGCAAAGATCGGGTCGGGATCAGTTCAGTTCAGTTGCAGCTGAGGAAATTCTAAATTCCCTCCCTCCACTGATTCGGCACGGTAGCAGCCTGGGGCGCTACAACCACCACTGTCACTGTGTGCTGCCATCATGTGCCTGATGATCGAGGGGTAATTTCCCGCTCTACTACTACGTCTATAGTGTGCCTACCTACCTCTGCGCTGGTAGCACGAAATACTATTCGGTCGTGGAGTGAAACGGGTATGGAAATTGAGTATATATTGAGCCAGAAGCTTCCAAGTCGTCCTTCTTCTTGTATTGAACCTTATATCGAAGTTGCTTTGTCCGACTGTGACGGTCGCAGTTGTCCAATTCTTGGTTTATCTCTGATTGGGAATTCTGCCCTTCTTCACCGCTATCTTGATCTTTGCCTGCTGTTTGCCTGCCGGCAGTTGTCCCGTTCATTCATCGTCACAGTCTCCTTTCACCCGCGACATCTTATCACACCTCGACATCGTGACGAGGGGTTGGACAGCTTGCTGTATCGATTACTGCTGATGCCTTCTTCAAAAACTACCCAGACAGCATCTCAGCTGTGTGCGCCTTTACGCAGACAAGAGTCGTGCTCGTTGAATTGAGGTCGACGGTTATGTTCGATCAAGTCCATCCCGATTTTTCTGGATGTTCTTATTTGAAGGTCATACACATTATCGGATCTTCTTGACTACCCATCAAGCAAACCACACACACAGAGACACAAGAAATCATGATATTAACCGCCAAACACCCTCTAGTTTTAGCATCCCGCTGAAGTTCTGAACAGACATTAATCGTCTGTCTTTCCCAGTACAATTAACCAAAATCTAACCACTGTCTCAATCAAGCATAACCAGATCGCACCAGAAAGGAACTTGGATCAAGCCCCCTCGACTCGCACGCCCACCATCTCACCCTCTCATCTGCGCAACGGAGTGTATGAGTTCGCGTCATCCGACGGCGTCTGGCGGTGGTGCCTACCCTGGCCCAACATCAAACTGTCCCTCCTGTCCGCCTCCAGCCGAGAAGAATCATGCGCCTTGAGGTTAGTACTGGGACGGTGCTGTCCACCACCACCATACGACGTCATCGTATAATCGCCCTCGACCGTGCTTCCCTCCAGATCAATGGCCGACCTCATCCCAACCTGCTTATACCCCACCAGAAACTTGCTGGGATGATACCGCATAAACGCCACACTCACAATCACCATGAGCATGCCGTCCAATACCAGCAGGTACATCTCGCGCTTCATCAAAATGGAATCCCAACCCAAGGCGTACTCGATCATGCGAAACACTGAGCGGATCAGGATGAGCGTGTTGGTCACGTACAGGACCCAGAGTAACTGGCGCCAGGGGACGGTGACGGAGTAAGACTTGGCGGTCGGGTTGGCGGCGATGCGCAAATGAAAGATAATGGTGGTGATGATGAAGAGCCCAAAGAAGGCGATTTGGATGCCCAGGCCGACGAGGATGATGTTGTTGCCGAGGTCTTGGTCTTTGGGAGTGGTAGCCTTGGCGAGCATGCCGCCGCCTGGTTTATTTTGGTGTTTGTGTTAGAGTGCTGGCTGACTGACTGACTGATTGACTGACTGACTGGGTATAGGAGAGAAGGGGGGGGGGGGGGGGGGGGGGGAGAGAAGTGATGACTTACCAGCACCCTGCGCCAGAAATGAAAAGACGTCACCCAACACGAATATCTTGGTCAACCACTTCACCCTGATGACCGAGTACGCCTCTGCCTCCAGCATGCAAGTGAGTCGGCCGAGAATCATGTAGATGGACGCGGCATAGAGGGAGGGTCCCAAGAGGATCAGGAGACTCTGTATGAGGTACGGCGTCAAGGTCCAGTCGGGTGTTTCCCCGGCGGAGATCACACGACCTATGTAACCGACTGCTTCGACTATTGTTTTTTGTCGTGGACGGTTAGCAAATCGATTTCGAAGTTGGTTGGCTTGTGAGAAGACCTGGAACGGCAAGGGGATGGAAAAACGTACAAAGACATCCCACCAAGAACGGGATAAAGTACCACGTCCTGTTCCTAGCGAGCAGAAACGCGTGGCCGACGGCGGTGATGCTGAACAAGGCGACGAAGATGGCATTGGCTGCTGTGGACGGGTCATATTTGTAGTACGCGAAGGTTGCTAGGTCTGAGTTGTTGTCCGACATCGTCGCAAGCTTTCGAGGATGAGATTGAGGTCGAAGAGCTTTCTAGGTCCAAAGGGAGGGGAAAAAAAAAGGTAGATCGAGGAAACAGAAGGGAAAAATGAGGGACAAGAAAGAAATGCCGATGTTACTGCGTTGTTGATGATGATGATGATGCGGCCGATATCACGAAGAACCGGCACCGCTTCAAACATATATGTAAGTCCAGAGGGAGCCACAGCTCCTTTACGAGGAAACCGAAGCAAAGGCATATGGGTAACATACATGTATACCTGAACGCGTAATTTTTCCTTCACAGCCTCAATGTATAACCGCGACCTTGATCGAACCAACATTTTCTATTTGCCTGGTTGATAGCTTGGACTGGACTGGACTGCCCTGCTACCTGCCTAACAACGTCGTCCCAACGGGTAGGTATTCTATGCTGCAGAGCGACGAGATGAGTAGAAGCTTAAAGCAAGAAGCGGGCCGTATCCGCAGCGCTATGTATTCTATACGCGTATACACATGTAGATACATAGTTCTACTCAACCTTCAAGATGTCTCCATAACAAACCTCCCTACTCATTCCCGCGGTACGGTGTTAGTGTCCCAACTGGAAGACTAGAAGCCTGGATTTAAGCTTCTCGGTCTCCTTGCCGGGCTATACGCGTATTGCCCCATACCAGGGTCTCGATCCTTTCCAACGAATCCGATCTACCGCTTACATACACTATTTTACCTAGCTATGTAGGTAGTTTGAGTTTGAGGCTGAGTGCCGCTTAATGACGAACGAGCGGGAAAGGGACGTTGGAAAACCGAATGCGGTTTAGCGCAAATCGGTTTGGTCGGTTTCGGCGAGATATACGCGTATACGATAAGCGACTATACGCGGGCGATAAGGCTTTTTGGGGTTGTTGAACCTAGGGGCCGACAACAACTAAACTTTTCATTCTCCAATAGCCAATGCATCTTCAGTTCACCTCCGCTTTCAGTTTCAAGGATGCCTTACCAGCTTACCAGCTAACCTACTTAGCTGCGCCTCGGTTGAGATGAGATTGCAATGTTCTACTGCTACTGAAGTGCAAAGAGCTAACGATGGATACGATGAATATGTACATTGAATCGGACGATGATGGGCTGGGTGAGGACCTTGATGGACACAATTGATACAGCCCAAATGCTACTTTGTTTGTTAGCTTGGTACTCCTACTCGTCAGGACTCGAAATGTCTTCTGACCCTTCAAGATCTACTACCTTGCTGTTCCAAACTAACATCCAGACGGCAACTTGCACCCGCTACCTCCTGTGTTAGGCCAACTGCAATCATTGTTCATTATCATTCTTGTATGTATTAAAACGGGCAAGTAACTGGAGTTGCTTTGTACCGCAGTCATTTCCAAAATTGATTACATCCGTGTATGTCTCCGGGGGAAAAAAATAGAACCAGCTATTATCCACTTTCGCTCTTTCATTATATTGATCGAAGCTTTCACACCCAGTTCAAGCCACTCTTGGCGGCCCCCAAAGAATGGCAATCAACCCATCCAACTCCCCCTCTGACTTGACGTCCCCTCGGAGCCACTGCCGTTTAGTCCCATTTCTTGCCCCTGAGTCTCCTCGCCAACACCATCTTCAACTTCCAGCTGCTTCACCCTCCTAACACTGCTCCCTCTACTCAACAACCTCTCTTTGAAGCTCTGCGGCGAGTACGACTCCCTTACATCCCTCGCTGACATCGCTCCTCGAAAAGCCAAATCAAAACTCTCTCCAGTCTTTGGCCTCAAGAACACGTTATTCGAATCCTCATCATCGTCAGTGTCCTCTTCATCATACATCCGGACATCACCCGTCCAAGCCCTTCGCCCCTCTAATCCCCCAGTCAAGTCGATGCCTGTCGTCCTGACTTGCAGAGCAGGCTGATGGCGCAACCGATGCTTGAGAACCGACAGCTCTTCCATACGCTCTCGGTAAGGGATTGGTGCGGTTTTGGGGCGGGCGGGAGGATGTCCGTGATAATGGTTGTTGTGGCTGTTATGGTGGATGCCAAGGGCTAGGAGTTCGTTGCATCGGCAGGTGGAGGGGGAAGTGCAGGCGCAGCCTGAGTCGTGCGAGATGAATAAGTCGGAAACCCCACCTCCTTGGGCTGCTACGTGGATGAGCGGCGCTGAACCAGAGGAGGAAGCGGGTGTGGTGGGTGCCTTGAGAGCTGCGTCGTCAGACTCGTTGGTCGCTACCGTTGCTGAAACAGAAAGGGTGGGCGTTGGGTGGGGGGAGAGACGTCTGGGGCTGGTTGGGGGATTGCTGGTGAGGTTTGGTCGGCCGCGGGCGCTGTCTGACATTCGTCGTGATGCGGGTTTGCTGTTATTGTTGCTGATATTACTGAGACCGTTGCTTCCCCGTCTTGACTGCCACGGTGGTAGCAGAGAAGGGGAGAACAGGCCATCTGATGTTGATGATGACTGCCTTTCTTGAGCACGAGAACCACTGAATATGGCGCTTTGGCGGTTCCTGCGCGTTGAACGGCGCGCTAGGTTGACATTCTCAGCGCCGCTTGAGGATCGTCGCCTCTTGTCCTCTGGCGAGGTGCCTTGTCCGCCGGTGGTGTCGTTGTTGGTGTTGCCATGAATACGGTGGAGACACTTTCTGATGGTGTTGGCTTTGTGTGCCTCAAAGACCAGTTCCAGTTGACCGGTCAAAAAGTTGCGGTAGGCGTCGTCGATGGCCTCCGGAAGAAAGAGCCGGAGTGTCTCTTGCAAGTGCAATTTCAGCGCTTCTTGACCTTCGTCAAATTGCTGCTCGACTTCGGCTAGTTCGATGACGGGATGGAAGTCTGCACGATGGGTTAGTTGTCATGTCTTCGTTCACACAAGGTGAGCTCGAGGCTCTTGGGTTTGCTGCTTACCAGAACTAGGAATCTGATCATCCAGGGGAAAGACCAGACGCCACAAGTCATCCCAGGTTCGGATCCCATTGCCAGAAGCTAAAGTTCTATCAACATCCTCAGATATCCCATCCTCGGGATTGCGGGGTGTTTCCGCGGGGACTGTGTCACACATTTCATCCCTGGGCAGCATCAGGTGTTCGTCCAACCCTTTCTGCGTGGGGAATCCGACTTTGCATCGCTGACATTGGTGAGGCATTGCGCGCCTTCTATGATATGACATAACATGGTGTCGCAAGTCGGCCAGTGATTCGAAAGAAGTCATGGCGCAAACTTCGTGGTCACGGATGTTGAAGCGAACCGGGTTGCGCACCCGGAATGGGCACGAGTATCCCTCCATGCCCTGCCCATCCATCGCATACGTCGCTTCCAGATCGCGTTCCTGTCGGCCGCTTCGGATGGAACTGCTGCTCATCACCCTCTGATGCCGGGACGGAATATCGTTTCTGGCCCCAACATCGTAAGACGTCCTTCGCGATCCCACCGATTGTACCGAGTTCGACATTCTCCTTATGGATGGAGTAGCTCTTAGCTGTGGAGCGTATGCTATGCTCGGGGGTGCAGATACCGCCGGCGCACCTGGATTCGGCGGTCCAAGCGACACGGTAATTTCTTCTAGACATCTGGCGACTGCGCCCCAGATCTTGAGCGTTGTCGACGGTTGTTCCGCCGCAGCGTTCTCCTCAGTTTCCCTCAGAATGGCGGCGGAGATTTCCGAGGCAAGTTCCCCTTCGCTGGGAGCATCTTCAGATATGGTCGAAGTCCGGAAGCCGCCGGAGGCGTGGTAAGTATACCGTTGCCGGGGGTAGTCTGGAAGACCGAGCCCAGGAAGCAGTCGACTGGACGATGAATTGCGCACCGGATGATTTCGCTGAGTTGGGCTCACCAAGCTGCTTCTGGCACTAGCTGCTTCACCATAGGCGGGTGATGGCCTTCCCAGTAGCGATAATCTCTTTTTCTGGCGTAAAAGCTGGAAATCCAGACTTGGTGGTCTTGTGGGACGGTACATGTAGGTAGAAGGTGTCGAATCTGGCATCATGGCGCTACCACTCGCTCGCTCCACATATTGTTGGCTGCCGTCAGAAGACCGGTCCGCCACAATATCGCCTTTCTGTGATGCCAAAGCCTTTGGGATATTATCCCCATGTTGGCGGCGGGTGTCGAGTAACTCGGGCGTCGAGAGGGCCATGAGCTCCGTATCATAATCGGAATAGGCCAGTGACAAAGATACAGGTGAGGAATCAGTCGAATAAGCTAGAGAGCAAGGAGAAGCGAGAGAAAAGAGCGAGGTTCGTAGTGGTGTGGAAGGAACAAAAGGAACATAGAGAGGAGCGGGAGCAGAAGTCGAAACAGGAGTCTCAGAATTGTTCTTCGATTGAGGTTCTATGGGACGGGTGTTGTGGTCAGTTGTATTGAGATTGGTCAATCCGGCGCGTAACTGTGGCGCCGCCGCCGGTGAGTGTAACTGATCATTGTGGTGATGATGAGCAGGTTCCACGACGGCTGGATGCTCCTCTGCGGCGCTTAATTGCCCCTGTTCCTTCGATTGCTTTTGTCGATCTGACGACTGCCTTTGCAGCAGGCGCCACCAAAGGTCCATGCTGTACGCGTGGGCCTTTGCCACGAGCCAGCCATGGAAAAGGGTTCAATATCTTGGAAGGAAATGTTTTGACGACTTTTGGGTTGTAGGAGGAGGCCTGGCGTGGCTGTGGTTCGTCCCGTCTTCTTGGTGCGGATAGAGCGGACGACTGACGACCTCGAGGTGGATGGATGGATGTTGGCGGATTAGGGAGCTGAGGCGAGCACCAGTGAGCTGAATGGAAAGCAGCCAGCAATCATAAAACAGGAACGACGTCAACAAAAGGCCTTTGGTGGCCATACAGATGCGAGAAATGGACAATGGAAGGAGAGGACGGGACAAATACAAACAACGAACCACAAGACACAAAAGGAGTTGTCCTCGGGAATGCCTTGTCATTCTCGGATTCTTCAGTGGCCTGTCTCGCGCATTTATTGGTCAATCTGTGGCCCATTCACTGAACGACATGCCGGATCTGGATGCTGATTTGCTCGTGATTGGCCTGCGCCAACAAGGGAGGTCTACTGCCCACTCTCGCTCAGGTCAGAAATATGCGTACCGCGCGCGGGTCACTCCAGATTTTGATGCTTCAAAACTTGGCCATTGTTTCACCAAATACTTGGTTCTTATTGTAAACTTATAAGCAGTCAAGACAGGGCCCTTTCGAAATTATACACTATCTCAAAATCACGAGTACGTGACCATGAACGAATACATTTTCATGAAAGGAACCAAAAGTGGTGATGTTTGCCACGGCTGTGGAAGTGGGCGGTGGTTGAACCGATTGTCGGTGCGCATAATTCTGACGTCTGCGAGCCACTGTACCGTCCCTGTACAACATAAGGTACGTTGCCTAGGCTTGACGCCTGGATGCAATTTCCCCGGAAACCCGAGATCTCGACCACTATTCGCTACGGTCCCTGGAACGTCAACGGGAATTGCGGCATCCATTCAGTTGTGAGCCTCGACAGGTACCTCGACATGCTTTCCAAAAGAGCAAAGCCTCCCCCTCCTCCTTTTCTTCTTCCAAGGTTTTTTTTTCCCATCGATTCTGACATCCAGTTCCTCGGGACAACGAACTATCTGGTGGCGTCGGACAAAGACCGACCAAGCTCTTTAGGATCCCAAAATAGTTTTCCAAAACCTGTTGTTTTGCATCGACAACGAAAACACCAAATCGGTTCAATACGGCATAGACGAAATTGGATCGAACATTCTTCAACCTCGGCTCAATTCGATGGAAGCGTGCTATCTAAGACGGGCCTGGGCGCGGTTTGGCAGTCCCGAACGTCTTGCCAGACTCTTTTCAGGGTCTAAGCTCCGGAAATTAGTACAGATTTCGGTTGGCCGTGTTGGTACTCTATTGGACATGCTGACCGCCAGCCCATCCCGGGGTAGATCCACATTGGTAAGAGCATCATGTGTCGACAGATGAATGAAATGTTTATGCGTTCTGATGTGGTTGGAGGTCTTCGGCTTTCTCGAGTTGGAGGAAAAGTCACGATACGTCCGAGCTTGGAGTGGTTCTTGACAGGGGCAGTTGGCAGTCGGTGGGCAGCTAGCTCAGGTAGGTTGGTAGGTAGGTACCACAGGGTTAGGGTTGATGCTGACTGTATCGACAGCGACGTCATCAACAACCTGGACTACACGATCGCGAAAATAGATGAAGTGAAACCTGCTCCGTATACCCAGCCACACCATTACAGCAATATTTGAGATCGTAGCTATGCAAGCTTCATGTTGTAACCTCAAGCTCACGCAAGACTCAATGAATGGAGATCCACAAACATATACAAATGTTCACTAACAGACAGATCACCACTACCTATGCTGATCCCTCTCTGAATCCCCACTCAACACCTCGAAGGAAGATGTTGAAACTCCGCCGGTATCAGATGGTCTAAGATTAGTGACAGACACAATTATCTTACTGGTCTTTTGCGGGGTCTCCACGTGGGCTTTTTGTAGAGTTATCCACCCCAGATCGCGAATCCGTCAACATGCGATTGACCACGTTTATTTGGTACCTGAAACCGTTCCCCCAAGACGATTTCGATACAGTTACGATGTGGTCAGTGCTTCCTGGGGTGTGTGTGACGTACTAGGGAAAGAAAAAGGTTGTTCTGGGAACTGACACACACACACCGTGTTCGTGTTTTGGCTGAAAAGGGCGGCATGAAATGGGGCTAGTTGGTGAAGGTTTATATCTACCTATCGGACTTTATGTTCTATCCAATTCTTCTCCCTGTTTTACCGCCGTCTCAACTCTTCCACCTATCAACCCGCAACCCAACTCTACTAAGCATAACCCTCCCTCGCAGTCGCCTTACCCCTCGCCATCCTGTTCATCATTCCCGTCAATGGCCTTACCGATGCATCGACAAGACTATGATACCAAGTTGCGCTCCCATCCTTCTCCGTCACCCTGATAGTCGTATCTCCCATAAGGATAGGTGGCGAATCCAGGTAGATCGACTCCCACGCGCCAGCAGGCACCTCAAAGGTCTCGTGCAGCGCCGTAATGTGGTTGTATCCCTTCTTGCGGAACGCGTGCAAAAAGTCCCATCCGTCGCGGTGTTCCTTGTCGTGCGCAAACTTGTGCAATCCCTCGATGTCGCGAAAGTAAAACACCGTCATGGCGGCGTTGTGGGTGGCGCGCTTGGTCTGCTTCCAACTGGACATGCCCAGGAGGCCGTACTCCTCCTTTTTCTCGTTTATGGCCTTGCTCATGTTCATGAAGTGGGTGTAGAGTTCGTAGGCGCCGGGGCAGGCGGGGCCTAGCGGGTGGTTGTAGGAGACGCCGAGGTGGAAGACGACGATGGAGCTGGAGCACGGCGCATTAGGGTAGCGACCGGTTTGCCATGAGGGAGGCTGGCTGCTGGTGAAACCTTGAGTGACACCGGTCATGTATGGATTTTCATTGGTCTTGCACAAGAACATTTGGCCGATGGTCGCACCAATCGAGTGAAGAGTGAGGATCAAGGCGGGGACGACGGCATAACGGTAAGGCAGGATGGCGAAGAGGACGATCTGAGCGAGCGCGCCCATGGCCATCAGAGTGCGAAGTCTGAAAGCATCTTTGATGATGGTCTTTGGCGTACGTTAGTCTCAAACGTTCTCAAAGCAGTGGGTGAATTACTTACCTCCTTGTGCGGAGGAGTCCCAAGCGGGCGTTGCTTGGTTGGGTTAAGGATGGGTCGGAAGTCTGGTTTGTCAAGAGTGTCCCCCATCTTGATAGTGGTTGATGTTGACAGTTTGGTATACGCAGTGTTTCAAAGAACAAGAAAAAGAGGACTGGGTTTGATGAGACGAGATGGGCAATGATATATGGGATTTTGTAGTTCACGTAGTCTTATTCAACCTACGCTAAGGCCTAAACTAGCAAAGACTGACACGGAAATGGCAATCTCTCCAATGTCTGTTGCTGACAAGCTACAAGTGACCACGTTGGCAAGCCTGCTGAGGGGAAGGTGGTGAAGTACCCCCACACGGAGGAATTCACTGTTCGCCCAAGGATGTCAAAGGATGAGATGGAAGGTGTGGAAGTTAAGTAGGGTCTCAACCACAAATCCATCGGCCAACTTGCATCGCCAGGATCGTTACTTACAGGCTTATCCAGCAGCCGAGATCCGTCTGGGCAATACACATAGCACGACTCGGACATGAGGTTCAGCGTGTTACGTAGTGCAGACGTTGACGGGATTGGCCCTGAAAGGCGGATATATCGCCCTGAAAATCCGTGACAGAGTAGTGCGAGTTATTGTTATTCACCAGGATAAGTCCGAAAGAATGATCGATTGCGCGGTGTTGCGGAGCGAGGAGGCTGGAGGTGTGTGATATATGTGCCGCAATCACTCAGTCCATGGCTTTGGGCACGACAAGTGTGGCTGCACTGCGCATGGTCTTGTTAGCCCATCTTATGTGGGAAAAGACCGAAAAAAGATGTCTTGCCCGGCGACTTTGCCTAAAGCGTATGCGAATCTTATGAATAAGTGCGGTAGTAAAAGTATGTGTACGATGAGTCAACAAATGTGTGGTCGGATCTTGAGTAAGGCGACTTTCGGATTCTGGAAAGTCCAAAGAATACATGAAGGTATTCTGAGTGGCTTTTACCTTCCAATCCGAACGCGAGAGTTGGAAAAGCAAACTGCATCAACTTGCAGGTGCGAGAAGTTGAAATGGAAGGAAACAAGCAAAGCCAAGAAAGACGTTGAACATCGGGCGTCCCGTCGTGGCCGTCCCTTTTATGTACACAGCGGGTACGTACCTCTCTCTACCTACAGTAATGACCCCTGAAAGTGCAACTAATCCGGGCGGAGGAAATCCTTTGCACTTTCTGGGTGTTTGCACTTGGGGGATCTGGTGCACAGACCATAAAGCCCCCTCCGGCTACTTAAAGACGCTCGGCTATATTAAAAAGTGGGACCTTAGAGCCTCGGTAAATAGGTATAAGTGTTCTCTCCCACCAAGATTGGACCCCTGTAGGTGCAAATCCGGGCTAGAGTCTTTGCACTTTGCAGTTTGCAGGTTTAGTATGGGAAATCAATTCCGGCCACCCAATTCTTTTGCACTTTAGGGGGTTTTTGCACTTGGGGGTGGTTGCACTTGCAGGGGTCTTTACTGTACCATTAACAGCCCCTTGACGCTGTCCCGCTGCCTTCCAGGTGCCTGCTGCCTGCCCCCGCCTTTTCCCCTCGTTCGACTACCTCTACCACTGCCTGCCCCGCCTGCCCAACCTTCTGTTCGCCCCACCTGCGACCTCCCGTCGTTATGTCCCAGCAACAGTCAACCATCCATTCGTCTTTCCCCTCCGATTGCAAAGCCCGAACTTCCAGGCAATCCCATACCAGATCGATCACCTCGAATTGTTGGATCTTGGACATACCCCGGCCAGACCTTCCACTTCTCGGTTTGCCTCAGTATCTACCAGATTCCAACGTATATTTAAGCTAGCTGCCCCCCTCCGTTGTCTGTTTTAGACGCAGCAATACACCGACCACCGACGACTATAATCCCTCCCGCCCTACTATCACCACCAGGCTTTTTGGAAGGCCAAGGTCGCTTCACTAAAATACTTCATATTGCACGCTCACGCGCTAGCTATATTCTTTCGGCACTATGGATTCCGAACACTTCGGAGGTCGTACTGACGACGACCTCTTCGCCGACGACTTCGAGCCCGTAGCCCCCGAGGAGCAGGTCGCGACCATGTCCACGGAAACAGGAACGCCCGTACAAGACACGGACATCACGAGTCATGCTTCCCCTGCCGCGGAATCCCCTCAACCGTTGGAGTCAGCGCCTGTCCAGAAGTCTACCCCCGCGCCTCAAGCACCCAAAGGACTTGCCAACTCGCGTCACGCTCCCAAAGGTCCTGAGAAGCAACCACGCAACAACAATCGTCACCCCAAAACCAACAACAACGTCAACAACAACACCGGCAACAACAGCGCGACTCAGTCTCAACAACAGCAGTCCACCTCCAGCACACCTCCCTCCGCCCCTAAAGAATTTCGCGAGAAAGAAGCCAGGGATAAGGAAGCTGGCCGTAACACTGCGAGTGTCTCATCGGCCGCTAGAATTGGTTCCGGCGCGAACCCACGCACCAAACTTACGGAAGACGAACTGGCAGCCAAGATGGAGAAGATGCGTATAATGGCCGCTGAGAAAACTAAGCGTTTCGAACAAGCCCAGCGTGACGAAAATGAGCATGCTGCCGCCTACGCTAAGGGCATGGAAGAGGATAGGAAACGTCGTGCCGAACAAGCGGCCAAGAGAAAGGCTGCCGAGGAAGATCGCAAGAAGATGGAGGAGGAGCGGGAAAAGAACCGTGAGCGCAAGATGCGCGCCATGGGCGCTAAGGAGGGTGGCTCTTGGGACGAGGGCAAGGAGGAGCGCATGAGAGAGGAGGATCGAAGAGGCTACAGGGGTATTAGGGGGGTTGCAAACACACAATCGTGGGCGCAAGATCCGGCTGACGGCAGTGAGCAGGGAAACGGTTACCGTGGCGGACGTCGTGGGGGAAGAGGAGGATTCGGTGGCGGAAGAGGTCGTGGGGGAGGTGATGGGTATGGAGGTCGTACCCTTTTCGAGCCGGACCCGGAGAACGAGACTGGTCAGCGTTTCTATCAGCGTGACAATAACCGAAACCGCGGCAGGGACTGGAAGGCGGATAGCCCAGCGGCCCCTCGTGCTGAACGCTCCGGGCCTGGGTCTGGTGCACCAAAAGCCGACAAACCGAAGTTGACCCCCGACGAGTTTCCTGCACTCCCCGGCAGCAAAGCCACCGCACCGCAAGTCAGCACAAGCGCCCCCCTATCCTTTGCTTCCTTGCCCCTCTCGCCTGCTGTGGGCAGATGGGATGATGAGGTGGAAGAAAGTATCTCGAAAAAAGCAGCACAGGCGGCGAACGCGCAGGCGAAGTCAAAGGAAAACTAGAAACCTTCTTATGCGCGGCCTACCTTCGCTTCAACCCTTCGTTCCAATTCTCAGGACCCTCCTCGTATCAAGCCACCGTTAATGTCAACGACACGCCCCAAAGGTCACCATAAATCTGATTCGCGAGACACAGTCAATAAAGAGCCGACAGCGGAGCATGAGTCAACAAAACTGGCGAGGGTGAAGGGTTTCCTCTCAGTTCCAGCCCAAGTAGTGGCTGCGCACCTAGGTCTTGAACCACCAAAGGTTGATGCCACTCTAACCTCAGATCAGATGGTCACTGCCCGTCAAACCCTTAAAACGCCGGTGGCCACTCCAGCGTTAGGCAAGTTACCGGCCGGCCTCCAATCTCTGGAACGGTCCAAGGCGGAAAAGGTACAAAGAAGCCTCGAGCAATATCAGAGGGACCTCGGGGAAATGCAACAGAAACTCGCAGAGAGGGCAATAGAAAAACCCGTGAGCCACAAAGTATCCAAAGTTTTGCCACTTACAGCACGCAACAGAGCATTGCTGGACGTTCAACATTTGATAAGCGAGCACGTTGAAGATGAACGATCCTATCGCCATTATAAAAACCCGGAAAACATTATAAAATGGGTGACAGAATCCGAGATTACCCAAATGCGTCGGTGGAAGGGTCCCAACATGCATTCCGATGAGGATCATGCGACACCAGAGGAGTAACTTGACGTTGGTGACGACTCGGTGTATTTTCCTCGGGAGGACGACTTGTAGAGGGGTCCTGGAAACCACAGGCTTTTCTTTGGCCGTAGAGGATGGAAGCGAGGTGTTTCTTTCATGTGATACGAAAAATGTCTAGACAACAGCGATTTTGTAAAAGCGAACAGACGAATTGATACCACAAGAATCTGAATTGAGATTGCTAGCCGGAACCGCAGTTGATTATGCACAATGTAGAAGATAACCCGAGTTATACCGCATTGATTAAAGTGTAATTGCTGGTAACGTCGATTTTATACCTATCTGTGTGCTGCGCTCTTACGATATAACTAAAAGCTTCTATTCACTACGCGGGCTGCAAAAATAAAGACCATAACGGGACAAGCTCCGACTTCTTCAAATCCCAAGCTCGAATAGTGTAAAACGCCCCCAACGCCCTTTCAATGCACATGATTCCGCCAGATCTTGGATCGTATCCATCTCCTTTTCCGGTTTCTTCCCTAATCACCGACGCCTCAAGCACCCTACCATCCACCACGTCTAGGACCACGCCCACGATAACCACCACCGCCACTCCTAGGTCCACGGCCTCTACCCCAGTCATCATGTCGTCCACCAGGACCCGTCGGCACACCACCCATATCATCATCACCACCACCGCCCATTCCCATCGGCCTCTGCCGTCCACGCATCTCCTTCGGGAACGCATCATACGTCTTCCGCATCTGCGCATATCCCAAATGCATCTTGCCAAAGAAGTGATCCGCCAGTCTGCGATCATTATCCAACCGGGACAGGTACGCCCCGCACACGTCGCACACCTGCAGCTTCTGATGACCTGACGGGCCACTCGTATCCGACAGCGCCTTCAGCTCTCTCTCCTTCTCCTGCTTCGCCGCCTGCGCCTGACGCACCCTGAACAGCTCGTCATACGCCCTCCCCACTTCGCCCAGCTCTCCCAAGATCTCCACCTCCAGCAGACCCGTCGCAATGGTCGTGCCCAAGTCCGAGATGGCCTTGAGCAACACATTTGTCTGCCGGATCTCGTCGGGCGTCTTTTCGAGGCGTCGCTGTGCCGCGTCGATCCGTCGGTTGCACTCGTCAATGTACTTTTGCAGGTCGCGCATGTAGTCGTAGTCGAAACCAAACTTCTTCTTTTCTTGTTCGGGCAGGGCTTCGTACTCGGCCTTGAGGGCTTCCGAGTGCACGCGCGAGCACGGGCCGAGGTCTTGCTTGGTGTTGGTGAAGAGGTCGTGCGGGCAGGTGCCGACGAGGTAGGAGCGGCAGACTTTGGGGTCGGTGAGGGAAAGTTGGGCGGAGCGGGAGGAGATTCCACCGCCCATTAGCTGCTCTGCATGGTTGGGGTGAAGAAGTTAGTGAGAGTTTGTTGGGGGTGGGGGAGTGTGGGATGAGACTTACCGAGCAGCTTTCTTTGTTCGGCCGCCATGATTGGTTCTGTTGTTTATGATTATTACTATGAAGATGTTTTGGTTTCGATAGGGGTCGATAGGTTTTGATGTGACCGAAAATGTGAGGGCTGGTGATGGTAAAGCGCTTTCGCGGTTGCTGACGTTTTGTTTTGTTTGGGAGAAATTCCCAAGATTTTGGAGGTCGAATGCAGTCGCAAAAGTCAGCCGCGCATGCAAGGCTGCTTGCTGGATGGAACCTGATCGCTGAAACCGGGGAAGTGGACCCACTTTGCCGTTCCCCTGTTGCCGCTATAATCCCGGTTCATCCACTGGAAATGTGCTGTCATCAACAATTCCATCCCTTCTGGGTCTTGTCCCGCTATGACAGGGCGCGGCAGGCACTCTTCCAGCACCTCCCGTCAGCAATGGGGGGTGCCCAAGTTGCGATCCCCTCCGACGGCAGCCAGGGCACCCAACACCAACAAAAGTCAAAAGTTAGGTGTGAACTGTCACCATCTTTCCCTTCCCGTCGTGTCTTCCACTTCAGTTCTGTCTTGCCATTGTCTCCGGAAATCGCTTTTGGTACTTTGTGGTGGACGTACAGATCAAGCAAATGGATAGACGACGGCAATAGACAGCGTTCACTCCAGTTGATACAATGCGTCCATCCTTTCCTTCTTCTTTCTTACTCTCCTTACTTTCTCTTCTTTGCTTCTCGCCCTACACTGCGATCGCCAATGCCTCCTCCCCTGCCGATTCCATTTCCAACTCCCGATCCGACTACCACGAACAACTAATATTGCGCCCGCTACCATTGTCGACTCTGCTCGCCAGCTTCAACTTCCGCTCCAACACATCGCTCTCTGCCTTCGAGGCGCACAATTTCCGATTCTTCCCCAGGTCGCTGGGCCAGATTCTCGAGCATGCCGGCACGCGCGAGTTACACTTGAGGTTTAGTCTGGGAAGATGGGATGCCGAGAGCTGGGGCGCAAGGCCGTGGAATGGCGCGCGAGAGGGTGGAACAGGTGTTGAGATGTGGGCGTGGCTGGAGGCAGATACAGACGAGGAGTATGTTTCACCACCAACAAACACCACTACGGATCATGACTTGGGCAGAGACTTACCACAGACACCATGTAGGGCCGACCGTAAATGGCTGACGCTCACCAATGCGCTGTCTGGTCTCTTCTGTGCTTCTCTCAACTTCATCGATAGCACCCGAACCACCCGTCCCGTCATGTCCTTCCAGCCCGAGGGCAACCACATCGACGCGAACGCGACGAACATGCACCTACTTTACGGCGTGCTACCCCACGAAGTTGTCTGTACCGAGAACTTGACACCCTTCCTTAAGCTTCTTCCATGCAAGGGCAAGGCTGGTATTGCGTCATTGCTTGACGGACATAAGCTCTTCGACTCCTCATGGCAGACAATGGCGATCGATATTCGGCCCGTGTGCCCGGAGGACGGCGAGTGTGTGTTGCAGATCGAGCAAAGCATTGATATGGTTCTGGACATTGACCGATCCAAGAGACCCAGGGGTATGTGTTCTAGTGTTTGAGCGACATGGTTAGAGACTGTAACTGACGAAACCGGCCTAGATAACCCGATTCCCAGGCCCCCTCCGGCCCACGAGATGAAGTGCAACACCTCGAAGCCGTACCACGCCCACGATACTTGCTTCCCCACCGATTCAGCCGCCAACCAGGACTGGTCGTTATCCCAAATCTTCGGCAAGCCTATCAAGGGAACCTGCCCTTTGACCGACCCTACCGTGTCTCCTGTCTGCATCCAAGTTCCCGGTTCGCGTGTTGTCTTCGCCTCCGAGGGCGCTATTGAGAAGAAGAACCCCGATCAGACTTCACGCTGCTTTGACTTCCCCGCCGAAAACGAATTCGAGATCTTCCTCCCTGCCCCTGAGGCCCAGGATGGGTCAGTAGTAATCGAGCACGTCGTCAAGCCCGAAACGCCCCTCCTCTACGCCGAACGCAGTTTCACCGGCCACGGCCAAGAGCGCGGCGGCGTCCAGACCATTCTGCGCAACCCCAGCCCCAACCAGGAAGTCGAGTTCATCTACATGGAATCTCTCCCCTGGTTCATGCGCATCTACTTGCACACCATCTCGGCCCGCGTCGATGGACAGCCCGGCAAGGCCGACTCCCTAATCCAGGAAGTCTACTACCGCCCCGCCGTCGACCGCGCACGCGGAACCCAACTCGAAGTCCGCATGACCGTCCCGCCCGCTTCTACCGTTTTTCTCACCTACGACTTTGAGAAGTCCATCCTGCGGTATACCGAGTACCCTCCGGACGCGAATCGCGGGTTTGATGTGGCCGCCGCTGTCATCACTATCTTGAACAAGGATAAGAGCGGTGGGAATGGAAGAAACTCGCGGTTTGCGGCATACAATCTGAGAACGACGACATTGCTTTGCAACCTCCCGACGCCCGATTTCAGCATGCCGTACAATGTCATCATCTTCACGTCAACGGCTATTGCCTTGGCGTTTGGCGGCATGTTTAACATACTGGTGAGGAGGTTCGTAGCGGCGAATGAGGGCCCGGAGAGCGGGTTGAAGAAGGGGGTAAATAAGTTGAAGGCGAAGGTGGCAGGGATTTTGAAGAAGGGAAAGAAGGAGAGTGCTCCTGCTGTTGCTGCGGAGGTGGAGGAGAAGAAGACGGAGTGAAAATACAACTGAACGGTCTGTCGTTGTGTATAAACACCCGGTGCCAGGTCATATAGTACAAATAAACTTTCAAGAAGCACTTTTCCCTCCAAGTTCGTCCTACCTCTACTGCCTCTTGAACCCCGGGAAAAACCCCCTCGGTATCTCCCACCCAGCGTCAACCTCCTCTTTCATCGTCTTCACAGTCCTCTCCACCATATCCGGTCCATACTCAAGTTCAACCACTTCCTTCATATTTTCTGGGTTCTCTCGTCAGCATTCGTCCCCCTTTACTTCCTCAACCCCTATCCCACTTAAATTTAAAAGCGAAAAAACTTACTAGGCACTCCCCCGTTCCATCCCTCCTCCTTCAAATACCCCTTCAACTCCCGCGGCGCCTCTTCGTCAAAACCCACATTGCTCATCACCTGGATAGCCGAAGCCCGGTTGCGCCGGATCTTTTCGTAGACGTGAAGTCGCCGCTCGAGTTCCTCGGGGGAAGAAGTGCTGGATAAGTCTCCTAGACAGAGGCCGAGGACGAGGCCGTCTTCGATTGCTTGGGCGCCTCCTTGGCCGTGGTCTTGTTTTGGTGTGGCGTGTAAGTGAAGAAGGACGCCAAAGAACAGACAAGGGAAAGAGGAGAAGGCGGAGGCGTGATTGGAATAGGAACAACAGAACTAACGAGGTAACATAGGATGAGCAGCGTCCCCGACAAGAACCAACCGGTCCTTGTGCCAGGTTGGGATGGGAGGGCGGTAGAGGAGGGGCCAGCGTTTGAGGTCTGTTGCTTTGCTTTTTTTTTTCTTTTTCGTCAGCACACAGATGATGGGTTAACAATTGATCATGAGGTATTCATATGGAAGGACGAGCGGATGTGGGGAGAAACCACATAGAACGGATAGGGAGATAATGAAGACGTACTTGATCACGGCTAGGATGCCGGGGTGGAAATCGGACAGCTTGGCGAGGACTTCGGACTTGGAGACGGGGGCGTGCCAGTCTTGGTAGAAAGTTCCAATTGTTAGTGAACCAGCGAGGATGACGTTTTGGGATGGGATGGGGTGGGTGAGTGTCTCTCTAGATACTGACCCTCCCGCTTCGCAGTACTTGTCTCATCCCGGAGCATGACCACGAAGTTGAACACTTCACCACTGCTTAATCGTCAGCTTTTCTCTCCCCCCTTTCTCCCATGAATCGTTTTGACCAATATCTCCATCTTATCACCTTGAAGTCATCGCACTCACCCTCGACACCGATAAGCAATTACCCTCTTCCTCCCTTTCACATCCGGCCACAGCCTGCAAACCTTGGCCTCCTTCCGATCCTCATCCAGGAAGAACTTTGTGTCTGGATCATCAGCAATTTCCGCCGTCGGAATCAGAAACCGGTAGCAGGTATTGAGCTTCGGATCAGGAAGCATCTGAGGCTGGTTCGGGTGTCCGAGGACGTATTCAGGTGCGCGAGAGTGCACCCCGTCGGCGGCAATGATGAGGTCTGCGCTCAAGACTGTGTTGTCGGAGAGGGCCACTGAGGGTACTGAGGGGTCCTAGAGTTTTGGTATCATATCAGGAATCCTCTTCTCTCTTGAGGACATGAACGGTCGTCATCTGCTTGGTGGTGGAAGTACTCACATACGCAACAACCTCTTTTCCACCTTCAATCCTCACCCACCCCTTTCTCACCTTTCCATCCATCCCACCCACTCCATTTACTTCCTCCTTTTCATTCCCATCATCATCACCAATCTCATCGTCATTATTCGTATCCAACACCAACCCCAACAACCCCCCATGCAAATCAACCCGATGCGCATACCACAGTGCTCCCCCTCCCCAAACCTCCTCATTCCTACTATGATCCAACCCTTGTCCCATTTGCTCCATCGTCTGTGGGTTCACGACCAACATCCCCTCGCTCTTTACAAACTCTTGTTTCAGCGGGTCTAGGCCCCATCCGCGCCCGGGCTGTGGATGGCAGAGGAAGCGAGAGACGTTGGGGGGGACGTTGATTGCTGCGCCTACTTCGTGGGAGGTGTATGACTTGCTGCTGGTGGGGGAGAGGGCAGTGTAGTGAGAGGATCGCTCGAGGATGGTTATTCGGTGAAAAGGGTTCGCGCGCCGGAGGGACAGAGCGGTGGAGAGGCCGGAGAGGCCGGCGCCTGTTATTATTATGTCCATTTTTCTTTTTGTTTCCTTTCGATGAAATGAGTTGGATCACCTCGGTGGGGTGGTGGAATATTTTGATGGGAATGGACGAGATGGGTAGAGAGTTCAAGGTGCTTTTTGGTTGTAGGAAGTCTGCTGTAGTTCGAGATACGTTTCCCTGTAGGACAAAGACGGTCGAGGAAGAATGGTAAGTAAGGCAAGTGCTAGATATGAAGAGAGTACGAGGGCATGTGTGACATGACAATACCCTGACATATGGTAGCCGAGCTGGAAGGAAGGTGCGGTTCATTGTTATGGCTCGGGACGAAAAACATAAGTAATATACTACGTGTAGTTACCGAGCTGCAGTGGCACCTCACTGACAGAGGAAGGGTCCTGGACCAAGCCGAAGGAGGGTCGGGCGCTACAATTTTTGGATGTACCGACCACCAAACGACTGTCCTTGTGTCTCCAAACTGGTTTGCTGGACGAGTTGTTGTGTTCCCTTGGTAGTTGGTAGTAATAATAGGGTCTTTAGTCGTACCTGCTTTTGCATCTCCTTGAGGCCTCACCACCCCGTTTCTCGACCAGTAGTACTGGGTGATAGATTCATTGGGGGAAAAGCTGAAGTAGAGAACAAATTGCAACCCCTCCATCATTTGCATCCGTAACATACCTAGGTGTTGCGAAGGGTAGCACCACCCGTATAGCAGCCACCTACCAAAGAATCATGAAATCTTGCCGAAGCCAACCACTATCTTAACATTGCACGGCCTGTCACATCGAGTTCAATCCCAAAGAAAGGCACAATAATAATACACCGTGTCTAGAACCCTGCACCATCCCCAGAAAAAAAGACATGGAGATACACAACGGGATATCAATTCATAGAGTTCTATATAAACCACTCGTAACTCCTTCTCTTAGACAGCCAACTCTCCTCTTTCATGGTTTCAACGCCCCGGCCGGCCCTCTAGGCAAGGCCAAATTTAGCGAGGTACTCCTCATGAAGCTTCTTCTGCTTCTCCCACTCCTTCTTGAGCTTCTTGGCCTGGCTCTTGGGCACTTCGTTTCCATCCGCCAGCTTGATGGGCAAGCCATCGGCGTCGAACTCGGTGTACTTGGCGTCACTCTTGAACATGTCCTGGGGAGAAAGCTTGGCCTTTTCCCACTTTTCTTGCTCGGCCTTTTCCTTTGCTTTGCGGGCTGTGTTGGAAAGTGTAAGTTAGTGTCATGATTCTGACGTGGTGAAAATAGGTAGAAATGTAGATGAAATAACTTACCCTCCTCCTTCTGTCTGGCCTTTTCAGCCAGCAACGCAGCCTTCTCCTCACGCGCCTGGATCAGCTTCATAGCCGGCACGAACTTGACCAGACTGGGTCCATCAACGCGATCATCGAGCTGCACGCCAAGATCGGTAAGGTCGTAGTCACGGATACGGTCGCTGAGCGCAAGGATAGCCTGCTTGACCTTGGGATCGAGAGCAACTCCGGAGGAAATGGTAGCGCGCAACTCATCGCGCAGCTTGGAGGTAGCGCGGATGAAAGGCAGCGCCAGCTTTTCGGCGTCCTTCTCGCCGCGCTTCTCGAGCTCCGCGAACTCGCTGTCGGGGTTCTGCTGCTCGAGGAGGGACTTGATGGACTCGTTACCAGCAAGGTCGAGCGCGGTAACCTCCTGCTTGACCTGTTTAAAGACGGCGGCGTAGGGCTTGACGGCGGTCTGGGGGTCAACGTTGGCCTTGTTGGAGGCGGTGGCGGAGGACCAGCCCAGACCATCGTATGGGGGCTGGGCGCTGGCGTCGAGACCAAAGATGCCGACGATCTTGGTCACCCAGCGGGCAACAGACTCGAGGGCTTGGACGTTGGGGTTGCTGGAGTTCATGTAGATGTTGGCGTTGCGGACCAGCTTGAGGAGGACCTGCATGGCGGTAGGGGTGTCGAAGGAGTTCCTCAGGGCGGCGTCGAGGTCCTTCTTGGCTTGCTCAAAATCCTCGAGCAGACCCCTGGCACCGGCGTCTTCCGAGAGGGAGAGATCCTTGATACCGGACGAAGCGTCGACCTCGGACAAGCGAGCCTTGACGTTGGTGAAGAAGTTGTCGAGCGTGGTCTCCCAGTTGTCGGCCTGTTTCCTCATGTCGGGGGAGATCTCGACACCGTCGTTCCAGCGGCTGAGCAGGAAGACGATACGCATGTTGCGGGCAGTGTAGGTGGAGGCGAGGGCGTCTTGTATCGTCTGGAAGTTCTTCAAGCTCTTGGACATTTTGCTTCCGGCAATGGAAAGATGGCCCATGTGCTGTGCGGAATGTCAGTGCATGATCAGAACACCAAGGAGAAAAAAAACAGAAAGCCTACCAGGAAATACTTGACCCAAGTGTGCTCGCCCTTGCAGCAGTCATGGAAGTAAGCCTCACTCTGGGCCAGCTCGTTGTCGTGATGAGGGAAAGCAAGATCGATACCACCAGAGTGGATATCCATCTGCTCGCCAAGCTTGTCGGAAGCCATAACGGAGCACTCAATGTGCCAACCTGGGCGACCGGCACCCCAAGGACTGGGCCAATATGGCTCACCGGGCTTCGACTTTTTCCAAAGGGCAAAGTCACCAGAACGCTTCTTGCCTCCCAAAGCAGTCGAAAGGGAACCCTCTCCCTCCTCTTGCAGGGCCGTGTCGTTCTTGCTCTCGGGGCGAAGGCGAGCATAGGTGTTACCGGCCTTCTCGAACGCGCCAATGTCAAAGTAGACAGAACCATCGGCCTCGTAAGCGAATCCCTTGTGGATAATCTGCTCGACAAAGGCGACGATCTGAGGAACATATTCGGTAACGCGAGTGATGACATCGGGAGGAAGGACGTTCAAAGCCTCCATATCGTCAGCGAATGCCTTTTCCATAGTCTTTGTGAGGTCGGTAAAGATGGTCTGATCGCTAGTGTCGATGGTCTCCTTGTAGAGCGAATCGAGGTAGGGTAGGAGGACGTCCTCGGCGGCGTCGAGACCGGAACCGTTCTTAAGAGCTTCGGCCGCAGCATCCATGTTGTTTAGGTGCATCTTGACCTTGGCCTCGGCGTCGCCAGGTTTTGTCTCGGGGACAAGGGGACCACCGGCCAGAACAACACCGTAAGCGGCCTGTTTCCGCTCCTCGTAGTTTTTCTCGTCTAGCGGGGCAGCATCTTGGGGTGCCAGGAGGGGAAGACTTTTGGTGTATGCCTGGAAGGCCTTGAAAATGAGATCGTGGATCTGCTCGGGAGTATAAGGCTTTTCCTTTTCCAGCTCTAGGAGCCTCTTTCTCCTCGCTTTGATGATGATCTGGGAAAAGTCAGACTGGTATTAGTGATTACGGATGAGCAAAATTCAAGCCCACCTTGTCATCGACATCTGTGTAATTCATCTATGGTGAAATGTTAGCTTAAGGAACATGGCAAGTTCGATGGTAGAAGCATGTATTCGTTTACTTACCACAAAGTTGACCTTGTAGTCAAAATAATGCATAAGGATGCGGCGGATGATATCTGTAGAGACATAGTTTCGGGCATGGCCCAAGTGGCTGAGATCGTACTATGATATGTTAATAGAAGCCAAGTAGAAGTCGTAGTTCTCAGTACATACAACAGTCGGCCCGCAGGCGTACCAGCTAATGGCACCCTCCTCCTTTGGTACAAACGGCACGGGGGGACCCGGCTTCAGGGTGCTGTGAACGGTGATGGCGGCCATGATTAACGGCGACGATGTGAATGGGCGGCGGGGGTATGATGAAGGGAGGGGACGAGGGAAAAGACGAATTGGTCTTGTACTAAGAGCCGAGATAGTCCTGGTCGAAGGAATGAGGCCGCGTAGACGGGCAAAGGAGTGCATCCGGTGGTGGGGTTATTTCCAGCCCTATCAGATTGGATGTCAAGTCCAGAGTTAGTCAAAAGGTCATGAGGGTAGGTTAAGTAATGAAAGAGGTCAGCGTGGCAACTGAAGTGCACAGCTGCAGGTCGACTGAGTGATGATGCTCGATTGAATGATATTCAGACCGACCGACGTGAAAGAGACGGAACGAATGAGTCAAGCCACACCTTTTGTATACTACAGTAGTAGCACCCTGGACTTGTCCACGGCGCTGAATGGTTTCAGCTGTGAGTCGTAAATTGAAAGGTGGTTCTTGCAATCTTTCGCAAGAGTTTTGGCGGGGCAAGGACGACTCTCACCCAGGGTTAGGGTTATCGAAGCTGGAGTACTGTACTGCAAACCGTGTCGAAGTTCTCTGAGCATGCAGTATCACGATGATTGGCACAACGGAGGTGAGAATGCCTGAATTGGTTGAAGAGAAGAGAGGAAAGAAAGGAATGAAAATGGTGATTGAAGACACCCTTATATACATGGATTTGGGGAAACGTGTTTGAGTCGAAATGCAATGCAGAAATTGTTGATGCATACCACGGATGTCCGACAAACTGAGTGGTTGATCAATTGAGGAGAGAACAGTTCCCTTTGTCTAGAGGAAATACCTAGAGAGTCCTGAAGTTGGGGCGCCGAAGAGCTACCGCAAAGACTCGGGCCATTGATTTTCAACTTTCCTGTAACTCAGACATCATCAGACCTACATACACCCAATTCTGTACATTTTATGCCCGCAAAGAATAATAGGGGAGATATGTTGCCACCCGGGAGCACTTGAAGTTTGATTCTTCTACGTAGTATCCCGCCCTTTCCAACCTTTTGTTTTCTTTTTTCAAGAGCGCTGGAGGGAAGGGACATTGAAAATTATGGTCTTGCATATGATTTCTGGCGGGCATGAATGTTGCAGTACTTATGCTTACAGACCATGAGTGCTTTCCCTGGAAGTTGTGATCAATGCCCCGAGTCTTTGCGGTAATATCGATGCACATTGATGGAAAGGACACATGCTGTCAACTTGACAAAGCCGCAAATTGCGATGCAGTTCTCCACCAAGCTGTGGCGCATTTGTGGTGTTTTGTGACTGGACTGAAATCTCCAAGTACATACTGTGTAGACTCTCTCCAGCCACATTTGAGGAGCTATGACCACTGCAGGGGGGACCTGAACGATGAACTCAGTGTGGGGGATCTCCGACCGGGTCGTCCCGTTTCCTCCACTTTCACATTTGGAGTCAAACCTGCCGAGCTTGCACACCTCAGCAATTAACTTCAGGGTCTAGATTCGGAGTCCCTTGGAATGATTTCTACGTAACTCGTTCAGAAGCTCAAGAGAAACTCATCACTCATGATAGGATCCACAGCCCAAATACGCTGCCCACGCGCCAGCATCTCCCGACTCACATCACCCACAGCCCAACTACACCAAACAACCCGAATGCCCGAGTTACCGACAACGCCTAATTATCCAAAGAACCGAGCTTCCTGATCACGGCTGCTGCCATGTCCTTCTCATTCTCTAGCAACTCGATTCCGTATCTCTTGGCGACAATCTGGACGTTGCCCCTCTTCTTATAGTCCTGATGGCAACACACAATGGCCTTGCTGGTGCGTGCGCAGAGACCAAGCTCCAAAAGACTGATGGGCGCAAGTGTGTGGGGTCCATAGTATATCAGGACTATGTCTGCCCTTTCCTGCATATCCAGTTCCCATTCGACCTGGTCACGGAAGGGCTTGAATGATATGTCTTCCGGCCAGTCAGTCCAATTGGGTGGGATGGGGTTGATGACCGTAATAGGAAGACGCGAGAGTTGTCTGGCCAAGCAATCCCGCCAGTCGGGCTCATCTCCCATCTTGGATGTGGTTCCGGCTAAGAAGACGGATTTCTTGCCGGTGAATTCGGGACGTTCTGGGGCGCGCACCAGTTGCAGCGGGCCGTGTGGTTGCGAAGCTTGATGTGCCATCTCGTTGCTAAGGCTTTGCCTGGTGGATGTCTTCTATGTCTGATATCAAGTGGAAGACAGTGTCTGCTTTGGGAGAGAATAAAATGCCAGGGTCGTCGAGGTTAACAAAGAGAAGACAAGAAGCTGATGATGATGACGGGAGAGAAAAGCAAGATAGAAACAACAGGAGATACAGACAGGAGAAAATCAGGAAAGCCTAGTAAAACGCCCAGCGAGGCTATGAAACCCTGAAATGAAGCCAACCTATCGATATAATTGAAGCTTTGTCGATGGGAGGACGGAGGTGGCCGCCACACTATGGTAGAGGCTGCCTCCAACCCGTATCCTGTCCGGTGTAAGCACTGACCATCTGCTCCACCTATCGCTCGTGCTTTTGGCGGGCTTGTTAGCGCGTCGGCGGTAGCCTGTGCAGTTCACTAACAATTTGCGTTGGACGTGGACACCCACCACGGAGCAAAGGACGGGAACGTTCAAATCGACTTTGTGCGTCGCGTCAATTTACACAGTAAAGGAACCGGGGACATTTCATCCACTTTATGTCCGCCTCCTTCCATCTCATGTGGCTTGTTTCTTCCTGCCATGCCATTTCTGTCGACTTCCGCCTCTCCTCCTACGCGTCGGTCAAATGTGAACAGCAACCACCATTCACCCGCAGCAAATACCAGAAGCAGCAAAGAAAACACCACAATCTCAACAGGTTCTCATGGCGACGACAACGATGATATCGGGCAGCGGCATTGCTCGCCGCGGAAAACACAACAACATGAGCCGGAAACGGCAAGTGGGAGGTTGATTGCATCTCATCCCAACACCGCGACGCCATCAACTTCTTCGACCTCAGCAACCCTTCACTCACCACCCAAACCCAAACCCAAACCTGTGTTCAAGATGAAGAGAACCGGCCACAGCCGTCCTTCACCCTCTTCCGCAAACTCTGGCCCAAAACTACCAAAACCCCAACCAAAACCAGAGCCTGACTCGGACATCATCGCCATGGGAGATATTCAGGACTCGGACCTTATAAAGGCCCAACTCGCCATGGACGCCTTGAGCGCCAGTCGGGCGACCCGCTCCAAGACCCAAGCACCACCAAAACCACCAACAATCGATCCGAGCACCGAAGCCCTTGATGCTGGCGCTTACAAGGTCTGGAAGGACCAAGACACGGGCAAGTTACTGCCCACCTGCGGTGCACTCCTGCCTCCCGGTTATGAACTGTCCGGTCATCCCGAACTTCCTTGGATATGCCCAGTCAGAAGTTGTCGAGCCCTCTTACCGGGCCTTCCAAATTTGGGCAGACATTTTCTTGTGCTTCACCGTGCTTGTCGATTAAACGATAATCTGGACGGCACCTTGACCGACCTTGGGAGATATGCCAACCCCACCCCTGGCAATGGCAGAAGATTTGGCGGTACCACTAAATCCTGTATCATTGTATCCAAAAAGTACATGAGCCCTGCGGAATCACCCATGGTTGAACCTAAACCCTACACACCACATGCCCACAACAAATCCCTGCCTGTACAGGAAGTTCCCAAGCGCGATCTTCGTCGGCGGTCGCCAATCGATGAGAGTGAAACCATCCAGGTCTCAGCTATGAGTGACCATGAGCTTGAACCCCAGGATAAGATCAAGGGTGCTATTGTTCCTTCCAACGCGGGGCCTACCGAGAAGATATTGGTAACCGCAAAATCCGGACGTCCATACAACATGTGGCCTGGTCAGTTCTTCCCACATTCACTCTTCCTAACCAACCTGGCTAACCGTCTAAATAGACCAGTCCGGGGCGTGGAAAGAACTACGCGGCGTCTTATTGCCGGACGAATGGACCCCTTATACGGAGCATCCCACCCACCAATGGATATGCCCAGTCAGATCATGCCGGTACCTATACAGCGCCAAGTATCACCTTGCCAATCACTTCAAGATGAGATACTACGGCTGCCGGCTGAATGACAATCTGGACGGGACCTTTACCGTTGTTAAGCGTCCTACAACTGGTCTCCATATTGAGCAACTTCGGATCGACTATCACAATGACCCACCGGTCGTGGTATCGCGTGGAGCAAGAGAGAGTGAACCATTAGCGGAACCCCAGATATCTCAGAACTATGTCAATCGAATGTTGCGACAGCATCGCAGAGGGAAAAGTTCCTCAACGGGTAGCTCAATTGGAGAAACTATCATCAAGGATAGTAGAGACTTGCAAGAAATGCATAACACAGAACGTACCAGCCCCCCAGCTGTTTATAAGTCAGCTGGAAATGCCCGCGTTATCCCTTCTGATGTTGGGTTCGATAATGCCACCGATGGTCGGCCTTATACCCATTGGCTGAATCCGGAGATCAATCGGTTTCAGGTGACCCGAGGATTGATCCCTGAAGGCTACCAACTTGAACTTCAAGCGTTTCCCCTTCGACCCTGGATATGCCCCATCAGGTCATGCAGACTCCTCCTCAGAGGGCAAGCAGCCTATAGCAATCACTGGACCGTATGTCATCCCAGCGTTTGCGTAAACGACAACCAAGACGGGACTTTTAGCATCGTTGAAGGCCGCAGCAAGACCGGTCCTCGTGTTGTGTCTAGGGGCCCAATGAATTATGACGAGTCACCCTTGAGAGAGGCACATTTGCCCAACAAGGAACACAGGCGTGTTGTGGAGCCGGATATCTCGACCGACGATGATAAAAGTCAGAACAACGAAATGCCGGGCCGGATAAGCCAAAAGCGGACTCTCGACGAAATAACAACATCACCACCAACACCAGAACCAGGAGAGGAAGTTGGGCATCCCGAAGGACTGCGACGATATATCACCTCCCAGATCGGGGGTAACTTTCCAGAAATAGAGGAAACAGAACTGGAAGTTCTCCTCTCTCTACCCCGTCGGCGAGATCTCAAGTTGAAGCACCCTCTTCCAGTCACTCACACACTCGCTCCTAAGCAGCTCACCGCAGTAGTTGCGCAACTTACTGGGCGCGAAGCCCCCAAGCCATGTACTGCATGTCGGCGCCGCGCAGGGCCTTTCAAGGGCTGTATCACCATTATACCCAAGATTAGCGTCAAGTTACGCAGGTTGGTCTCTGTTAGTTATCGCAACGCTTGTGCCAACTGTCTTTACGGCAACACATACAATGCATGCAGTATCAAGCACCTGAACAAAACTGAAGAGCGCGCGACACGCGTGGTTGCGTTTGGAAATGGTGGTGATGTAGAAGAAGCAGGGGACGAAGCAGGGGACGAAGCAGGCGATGAGGCAGAAGACGAAGCGGATGAGGAGGAGGAGGAGAACGAGGAGGCTTACGAGTACGACGAGCAACTTGGCGCCACGGTCATCCGGCGCTCGCAAAGATTTCCTAGTATTGCTGCTGCGGAAGAGAGCGAGGCAGATGTGGACGGAGTACCATCGCCACGAAATGTGATCACTCTCAAGGACCCATCGCCGACTTGCGCTTCAGCTAGCTTGGATGCCGCAGAAGAGGAACAGGAAGATGTCGAGTATCGCCGGGCCAGCAAGCGTCTCCGGACGAGGGAACAAACCGCCGTACCGACCTCAATTCAGGCCACTGCTGCTTTTGCTTCGTCTTTGTTGGTGTCTAAGGAGGATCTCGTAACCGAAGACTGGGAAAGAGGTTCAAGAGGGGTTCTCCCCAGGCGGCGCCACCCATCGGAAAGTGAGTGTACTCCCCCAATCCGCCTCTTACTCTTCAAGCCAGAAATACTAACCACCAATTATTAGACCTCGTCTACTCCTCCTCGTACCTCTCAGCCAACCAGACCATCCAGATATGCAAATCGACCACCCTGACAGCACTCGCCATCACCTCGGGTAGCACTCAGCGGCTGCCCGCCGACCAAACCCGCACCCGAATATGCACCCTCGTCAGCGGCAAGCTAAGGGTGATACTGAACGATGGCGAAGACGAGTTTACTGTTGGCCCACGTGGTGTGTTCAAGCTCAGCCCAGGCGCGACGTGCTTGCTGGAGAATGGGTGTTATCTGAACGCGGCGGTGCATGTAACTGCTGTGGCTGATCGATAGTTATTTCCGGTCGGTGCTCGGAAGAAAGAGTGAAACGATAGGGTAGATAAGGTAGGTAAACATGTGGCTTGGGGATGCGAGCTGTGTGACATGCGTTCTGTGCATTTTGAGGTACACTACGTACGCATACGTTTACGCATGCGCATGCGAGCCTGGTTGGAGTTTGGAGAGGGAACTCGGGGGTAAACAGAAGAGTTATCGGGAATTAAAACCATTTGTTCGCCGCAAACAGTTTATCATTGCGGCGGGGTAATGGAAGGGGAAGGTCCTACAAAATAGAAGGCTCTGATGGGTGCTCGGCAATGCAAGTGAAAGAAATGAGGCGGTTTATTGACGTGAGACATCCAAAGGGAGGATGTCAAAAATCAAAACAAAACTCGGCCAGGAACACCAAGAGCGGTTGCGATTGGCACGCCCAGCCTCTCGGTTCTGGTTCGCCTACTTATTGCATGCTCATACATACATATGTACTTACGTACATAAAGATGGCGACCTGCGACCGTTAGGCCTCAACGCAGGCTTTCGAGCATTCCACTCCGACCGAGTGGTAACCGAGCGCAGTCCGGGTCCCTTTGACCGGTCGCATGTTTCTGATAAGCCGAGAAACCGAGTCCGGATGCATATCCTACGCCATCGAGCCGGGCTTGATCTTTATCAAATGCACAACATGCACTCGGTCGCATGGCGGGGATGAGATGATGAGGGGAAGAAAGCGGGGGGAGATCGGGATTGCAGAAGGAAATAAAAGGTTTCTTGTTGCCTTGACTTTGGTATGCCTGAGATCTTTCCTCCTTCAAAGTGATCCATCAATCCATCAGTAAAGTCTGTTTGTTGAGAAAAGTTTTGATATTCAGCGATTATACACTCATCTTCGAACCAGCCGGCATCTGTACATCCTTCTACCTTCCCGTCAATCCTCCGTGTTACGAGCTACGACCTATTCCCCTTATCTACTCCTCGCTGTCATACCATAGGCGGACCTAAACCTCCGCGGACTAGCCCAAACTTCCACAATCGACTACACTTGCTTTTTCTTTTTTATTGGTCATCACCGCCTCCAACTTGATATCACCACATCACATCTACATACCCTCTTCAAACTGTGCAGTTTTACCACCAACTACCTACCTACCACCTGCCTGCCCAGGAGACAACGTCAACACCCCAACACCAAAAACCAACACCCACATCCATAAAACACAGATAGGAAGGCCAAACCCGATTCCAAGGACGAGATCACCTTAATCGGTTCTCGATACCGCAAGCACAAAAAAAATGCAGCCATTCCTCTCCGGAGAAACAACCCTTGCCCTCCTCCTCACCGTCTTGACCCTCCTCTTCTTTGCCGCAGCAGGGGATGAACATCCCTATGAGCCATATCACCACCGCAGCAACCTTCCACTTCCCGCTGAAGCCGGCCTTTCCAGCGTGGACCTTGCAAGTGAACAACCGCAACCGCAGATCCAGAGGAAGCAGGAGTTAATGGTCCGGTTGAATGGTCTGCAAACCCACTGTAGTGGTGAGGACCACCAAAGGGTGGTAACAGCAAAAGAAGAAGAACATCAGAGAAGATCGTCAGAGATGGTGGTGGTGAAAAGACATATGGGACCACGGGGGGCTATTTCTTTCCAAGGTACGTTCTCTTTCTCTCCATTTAACCTTACTTTTAACAAGCTCAATTGCATTCCAAGAACAAGAACAAGAACAAGAACTAATGACCAAAATAGCAAACACCACCACAAAGAAGCCACCACCACGCCTCTCAACATCATCAACATTCATCACATCCCGCCTCCTCCGACCACCAAGGAACTTGCAGATCTTGGCAGCATTACCAAGTCATGGTGGTCGTCGTCGGAGCCTTCTTCACACTGCTACAGCACCACCTCTGTCCACAGTCCTGCTCAAGTCGTCAGGGGCAGGGGCAGCAGATATGAGCTGGTTGCTTGAGGCATTGTTGGGGTTATGGTTAGTATTATTACCTTTGGCAACGACGAAAAAGACGACATCATCGCTGCGATGTCCGACGACAAAAAGGAGTAAAAGGAGGAAGAGGAGTGTAAAGTTCGTTGCTGTTGATGATGGTGGTCATGATGGTGACCATGATGAACAGCAGCAGCAAATTGGACAAACAAGGCAAAAACGAGAAAGCTGTGGTGGTGGTGGTGGTGGTGAGGAAAAGAAGACTGATGAACTTCAGCAGCAGCAGCAGCAGCTTCAGGATTTGGGTTTGGGTTTGACAAGAAGCGTTGGTGAGAGGGTGGTTATGGTTTGTTAGTGAGTGAGTGAGTGAGTCAAGATATGAGCTTTTCATTGCGCGATTTGTATATGTGAAAGGAAGGAAGAGTAGACTAAACGAAGGATAGATAGTAGCACGGCAAGAATTAGAACTACCTGGTTATGAACCACCCATCCCCGTGGTCTTCCAGGTTCGTCCTTGGTCCTCTTCGTTGAATCCTGCCCCTCAAGATAAAAGTCCCTTTTCGATCGGTATTTGTAAATTACCTACTACATCACGCTGCAGGTTTGGTGAAGTTGATGGGTGGGTTTTGTTACGTCAACTTGCACCTGGTGTGGAGTTATTTGTAGAATTGAGTAAGTAGTATTACAGGCGGGGTCGGTAGCAGAACCAGGAACTGAGAGGGACTGGGGACTGGAGGCTGTGATGATGACTGGTGTAATTGGTGATATCTACAAGTCAGCCAGCTAGCTATGTACCAAGGCAAAATGTTGGATGGCGCAAGAGTCAATTCAGATCCATAGGACTCTACAAGACAAGCATAATCTTTCAGTCGAAATGAATGTTCGTTAGGGACGCTACGGTGCATCATTGACAGATCCCGTCTACCCGCCGTACTTGTAGGTGTGGAGGATTTGGTGGTGTGGCTTTCACAAATCACTTTTTTCACCTATTTCACACTGCTGGCCTCTTGAAGTGGTTGGTACTATCTGTTTTGATCACTAGCTAGGTATATAGCGACGACTACTGATACTCTTTTCACGATCATCCACGACGATGATCCTATCTTGATTCATTCCTGATAAGCTTCGCTTTCTCTTCCATGGACATTTCCATCTGCTCCGTCTTCATCTTACACCACCCATCAATAAAGCACTTGTTACCAGAGGGTCTTGGACGGAACACCAATCCAGCGCTCCATCCTTCTCAACCCCCCTCTAACATTCACAACCCTAACCATATTCCATATCAATGTCATCCAATAGCTCAGGAATATTATCCAATATCCTCGCTTTCTTCGGACCCCCGGTTAGATTTGCAACTGGGGTACGGTCCTGGCCACATCTGCCCAACTGGGTGCGGTGGGCATTGAAGGGATCTTTCTCTGAATGGCTGTACGACCGGAATCACGCCCTATGGAAGGTGCAGTACTTGTAGAAGGAGCGAAGCTGACATCACTAGAGTCGTCTCGCATGTCACGCTCTTCGTTCTCTTCGTGATCGTCTTGAGAAGCAACACTCTCCGCTCGTTTGATATCCTCTTCATAACCCAACCCAAGACCGACACCATCTACTCGAATGGCAGTTGCAGAATCGCTATCGGCAAGTCCGGGTACCATCTCGTCCGACTCCTTGGCGATTCGGCCGGGAGACAGACTGTAGACATTGGGAGTATTTTCGACGGTCGTTGGCATGCTGAGGTCGTCATTACGCGACCTGCTTAGGCTGAGGGTCGAACTCGTCATGCTATGCTGAGTGCTATCGGCTGAAGAGGTGTTGCGAGTGTACCGCGGCGTGCTAGGCGTGCTGGACCTAATAGGTGTGGCAGGGTTGACAGCTCGAGGTAAGCGGGAAGCTGAAGTGCTGGATCGCAGCGAATAGTTGGCGGGAGCAACCTCAAGCGTTGGACTTCTCTTGGGCCCAACAGCCGGGATTGGCGAGTTGAGAAGGTTAGCTGGACGGATGATGGAGTCTCGGCGTACTGAATCTCGACGAGTTGCAGTCTGCGGTACGGGAATACTGCTAGTACCAGTTGAGACGGCTTGGGAGTAGCTTGGACGAGCAGTACGATCGGCGATTGGGGTGGGCATTTTGACGAGAGTTTGTAAGATGGGGGCTGATGACGAAATTGTTGGCAGAGGGTACGTTGGTGGTCTCGATGGCATCTTCAAACCGCTCGGGGCAGAAATCGCTTTTGTCGATACAGATGAAGAAGTGGTGGTTCGGCGCGAGGCGATTGGAACTCCGTGCCTTTTACCAGTTTGGAGTTCCATGAAGCGAGCCTCGAGCCTCTTTCTTTCCTCGGATTCGTTCTCCAGCCTCCTCTCCAGCTGCTCACATTTCTGTTTGTACCTCTCAGCGACATGGGTTGTCGAATTTCTAATCCGAGCTTCGTAGGTGGCATCTTTTGCTTCGAGCTCAGCTAGCCTCATGATGATCTTTTCGTGCTCGTCTCGTAATCGCTTGGCGTCTTCAGTGACACGCCTGAGGCGCGAGTCAAGCTTTTCAGTCAAGAATCGGCTGCTCCTCTTGCAGCAGGAAGCATGATACACCTGCTCAAGACCACCTAGTTCAACCAGCTCGAGATCAGCTTCGTCCGCCGCAGGTCGCTCCGATGGTGCGGTGGACGACATTCTCCTGATCAGATTAATTGTGTGCTTCGGACCCACTGTATGCGCTTCAGAGTCCTTGTATTCCTGGGTTGCAAGCGCATGCATTTCAAGATGCCCCAAAAACTGGTCGAGTAGTGCATCTCTCCCCTTATCTGGCAGCTTTCCGGCAACACGATCAAAGTCGGCTATTTTGGCGCCATATACAACCGTTGAGATGTTGAGCAACACCATTCCGAGAGAGTAGACATCCGCAGCCCGCATCGACCACTCATCTTTAAGGCGGCTGACCTCGGGAGCTCTCCACTTGGGGGTTCCCTGTTGCCCGAGAGTAAGAGTGTTTTCCCGGTCATGCACGTCTCTTGCTATGCCGAAGTCCGCCAGGTAGACTCTTCCAGGGCTTAAGAGGATATTGCCGGGCTTGAGGTCCAGATGGCGCACGTCGGACTTGTGTAGATAAGCCAGGGCGCGGGTGAGGCAGCCCATCATCTGGCGCATGTACCTAAACAAGCAACGATTTCCGTACGAAGGGGATACATGCTTGCTGGGGAGGTAGGTGTATTCAAAGGCGTCCAGGTCAGTCAGATCAAGTGTGGCCAGGCGAGAGAGAATTTCATCGCGGTCGTCTTGGCCGGTCTGGAGAAGATGCAGGTCGTTAAACAGGTCATCCAGATTGCACACGGCGACAGGCCACAGCAAGAGGTACAGCTCAGGTACATTGCGGTAGCAATAAGAACCAATGAGTTTGACAATGTGTTCATGCTCAAGCTTGTCCATCACCTTGGCCTCACGCCGTAGGTTTTCCAGTTGAAAATGCCGTCGTTGGGGAATATGCTTGCGTGCCAAGCGTATTGAGCGGTGCTTGTAAGTGAGGTGGACTTTGTCGACGATGCCATAGGTCCCGCGGCCCAGTTGGTAATTGAGATTGCTTTTGAACTGGTCGTGAAACCGCTTCGCCTTTTCAAGGTGCTCGGGGGTGGTATCTGTGTGTTTTCCTCTGGATACAAATTAGCCAAGTGCCTGGACGAGGGAAAGGTACAAACAAGACTTGGGGAAGAGGACAGGAAGGAAGCCTAACTGTACGCACATTCCGGACCAGTGACCTGGTGATGACTCCCACTCTTTGATGATCTCCTTCTCGTAAGCCTCGAGTTCCTGGTGTGACATTCGTTCAACTCGTCCTGAATGGGTGGTGGGCAGGACTTTGTTCCAGCTGTTTTGTGACTCAGACCGCGTCATGGCGGCGACTGGAGGGCGACCGGGGATCGCCAACGAAGACGGCAAGCAACGGGGGAGTTCGAGGGCGGAGCGTCAGCAGCTTGTTGGCTGGGCAAGGAGTCACGACGCTGGGGTCCTGGGAAGAAGACTAGGGCCCAGAGGAAAGAAACAATATTCGAAGGGGGTATATTGAAGGATAGGAGATTTTGAAACAAGAGACTGAAAGAAGACGGAAAAAAAGCACACACGATATCCAAACCAAGGACCCAAAACGAGAGACTAGAGATTTTTGGAGATGGTCCCCGTCTAGTGGGAAAGTGGCCAGCGGCACCCAGGTGAACATCTGCAAATGTACCTACTTTGCAAGTGGATGCTCCAACTTTCCCAGTTGGGCACTAGGTGCGCTTGCGGGGGACTTTTTGCGGGAGCGCATATCCACTGCAGGCATCCGCCAATTCGGCAGTAACAGTTAGTGTTGAAGTCCTTTTCCTGATGAAGAGTGCTTCGAGGTACTTGGACTTTAACAAGGGCGCCCTCCCGTGGAATCGACATGTGCCATTGGCCAACAACAACCTGAATGGAACCTCGAGTCCGACCTCAGAGCGGCTGAGCTAGCACTCTGCAGTGGTGAGCGTGGCGCTGTTCAACGACCGCTGTTGAAAAGAGCTGTCCGTTATGTACATGATTGGATTTCAAAGGGCGGAGCAAGCCATGATGTCTTGCGTATATGTACGAGGGCGTCCTGGCGATAAACAGCAAAAAGGCATGCCATTCCAACTGTTCAAGACAAGAAGCCGGGCTTGCCGGGGGACACATAAATCAACACAAAATGCCCCTGATCGCCGCTCGATCTCTGTTTTGAATCTTGACGGACTCCAGTGACAAAGGGGGCCACCTAACAGGGCTGAGCTGAGAAAGTGGAATCGGCTCGGGGCGAGGTCGTTGGACACGGGATGAACGGCTTCCATTTGAACTCCGCCATGAGCACGGGTCCGTCTCCACCTTTCACCCGGGCAAGACTGGAACAAGCTTAAATCAACATCCGGTGCGCTTGCTTCGATTCCCGGCTTCATCGATGATTTGGTCAGTGCTCCTCTCTGACAATCTGACAGATTCGCATTTCACCCCTCTATGCCGGAACATAATGGCTTGGAGGATATCATCGATCCTGAGTATGTCTTTACCGGCAGACCAAACCGATAACTTCAAAGCATGGATTTTCCCCACAATGTGTTAATACATACTATGCAGTACAAGTTCAAGTTGGGCAAGGTCGTTTAGTGAGTAAAGAGCCTGTCCTCCACCAGTCAGTTTGAGGTCAAGGTCAAGGTAGTCGGTACTTGGTCTTAAGGCTTGATGACCTACTGAGATTGAGTACCCTGTACTTGGCACGGTCCACATTCTGATGATCAGTAATCGGAAAACGGACGTATAGCTCAGGCGACCCCCCCCCTTGTCGGACCCACAGATTTTTTTATATATATAACCCTAACCCGAATAGCACATGCATTAACGTACAGCGTACAGAGTACTTGGAAGCACATCGCATTATTACATTTTTGCAAGGCACGGATCACGCTAAATATATCCTACTAAGCAGCGAAATAACCAGATCAGTACATTACAACCTTTAATATATCTATAGTATATAGCGTAAATAGAAGGGGATACTAAGTGTTTATATACTACTTTACAATATCGCCTATAGTTAAAATTTATTCTTAGGAATATTATTAATATAATATAA